ATTTAGTTGCTTTATAGGTTAATTGATGCGTCCAGCACATCCATTCTGAACTAATCAGTTTGAAGGTTCACATCTGAAAGGTGTTAAAAGGACACTGGCTTGTAACTGGATCTTTCCCTTAGCATGCCTAACCTTATGGGCCAGCAAGAAGAATTATCCAAATTTGGGGAGAGAGGCTTGCCCACTCAGACTAATCAAACTCACAAGGATACCAGTTTATAAAAATATAATAAGGCATTAAATTGTCACCCAAAATGCAAATGGCCAACAGACATATGAAAAAATGTTCAACATCACTTGTAATCAGGGAAATGCAAATCAAAACTACCATGAGATACCATCTTACACCAGTGAGAATGGCACATATTAAAAAAACTAGCAACAACAAATGTTGGCGAGGTTGTGGAGAAAAAGGAACTCTCCTGCCATTTCTGATGGGAGTACAAACTGGTCCAATCACTATGGAGAGCTGTGTGGAGATTTCTTGACCTACTAAACATAAAGCTTCCATATGATCCAGTAATTCCACTCCTAGGTATTTACCCAAAGGACACAGAAACATCAACTCCAAAGAACACCTGCACCCCTATGTTTATAGCAGCACTGTTTACAATAGCTAAGCTTTGGAAACAACCCAGATGCCCAAAAATAGATGACAGGATCAAGAGGATGTGGTCCATATACACCATGGAATATTACTCAGCATTCAAAAAAGATAAACACATGCAATTTGCAGCAACATGGATGGCGCGGGAAGGGATCATGCTCAGCAAAATAAGTCAAAAAGAAAAAGAAAAATACCAGATGGTCTCACTCATAGCAGGAATCTAGAAAACCTAAATAAGGGACCAGGAAAAAAAGACTAATTAATACAAAGTAAAAATCAAAATCAACAAGCAACTATAAACCAGAGACACACTACGGGGTGGGGGAGGGAAGGGGAGAGAAAGGACTAGGGTCAAAATAAGGGGGGTTGCAATTGTGTGGGGAATATAACCAAAATGATAATGCATACATTGTGCAAAAAATGAAAAATGATGTAAGAATCATTTTATATAAAATATTTTATATAAAATAAAATAATAAAAGAAATAAATAAAAGAAATAAAAAATAAATAAAAGAAAATATTAAAAGAATAAAAAAAAAGATATGGAAATAATTTTTAAAAATTGTCAACTCCCCAGAACTTGCCATTTTTATTCCACTTTTACTATCAGTGCTGGCCCCACTACCATGAGCTAGTTTAGTGCCTGTTGCTTAGGCCTGCTATAGACAGATCCTTTCGAGGTCCATCCCCTAAGCAACCCCCAAGGATCATTACTATGATTCATTCATTTAATCTTAAATTTCAGTTTATCTCTGCATTCGCCACATAGCTGGCATTTCCCCTTTGAATGCCATTCCTGCTGTACCTTTTCTTTTTGGTTCCAAACAGTGGTGGGATGGAGTGAGAAGAGAACTTCTAGTCCTTTGATTTCTTTTTAAGCTCCTTTTAGCCCTCTCCCTAGACCTGCCATCTTCAGTCTCGATGCTTTTGTCCAAATACTACCTGCTGACTTGCGGAGCTACTGTCTAATTTGAACAGACTCAAGGTCTTTAGGTCACATAGTGGCTCATAACACCTACTAAGGTCCAGCGTGCCCATGTCACTATGTTAAAACACAGCATGTAAACGTCTACACTCATTCTACTATCAAAAGACTCCTCCCTGTCCTACTCCCCAACCCCCTGCCATGTGTTTAATTAGACCTAACACTGCTTTGCAGGAAAGAAGGCAGAGTTTTCACTGTACTAAAAGTCAACCACACTGTGGTTTTCTGGCTTCCTGTGCCAAGAGGCTCAGCTCAAAACAGTAGAGGTTGTTCAACTCGTAGCTAGGTGCTCAGAATTCTTTCCATAAATATAGCTGATGTCTTATATGTTCTTGTATGTGAACTCTCTTCTCTCCAGTCCCAACTGTCTGCCATTTCAAAACATGATGCATCATACAGGTGATACATAAACAAACACATTCCCTTTACAGAAATTAATACAATAAGAAAATTAAAATGTTTCTGATTCTCGCTCAAGCCTACCTCTCCATAGACTGTGTGTTTGGAACTTTTGGAACTTTTCTATTCATGTACATTATGTTGTTTTGTTTTTAGAAAGCATTGTTTTGTACTGCAGTTGATCCTGGGGATCTTTCTATGTCAGTATATTTTTAATGACAACATAGTATTCCACCCCATGGTTATGCCCTAATGTATTAGCCATACCCACAACGATTATCTCATATTATTTTAATTTTTATGCTATAACATTGTCTTGAACCTCCCCATATATACCTCTTTGTAAAGAAGAGCTTTTCTTCCTTTGTAAGGAATAACTAACGTACTTCTCTATGGGAGCAACCAAAGAGTTTATGAGACTTGTTAAAGCAATGAAAACAAAAGTACTAGATATTTTATATTTGAAGTTGATACTATCAAAGTGTCCTCCAGACTTGGGGTGTGTAGGGAAAATGGAAGTGATCAGGTTTTTCCACCCTCCCGCTATTAGCATCAATGATCGATACCTGTGGTCTTACAGTGTGGACACCTGGAGCATGGTGTGGGCATGTGTAAGTGGGCACACCTGAGCAGAGAGACTGGGCATACAAGGTGTGGCAAAGGAGAGCGTGTGGCGGAGTGCGGTGGAGTACAGTGGAGGGCATCAGAGAGGGTATAGGGATTTGCGGGGGGGCCCAAGTTACTGTCTCCCTGCTGGCTTGTCTCCCCTAACCTGTGAGGATGATGTCCAGGGCTCCAGGATCCTCATTCAAGCTGCCTGAACCGATGATGAGCCTACCCAGCCGCGGAGGGTTGCAGAACAGGGTGCCACTTTACACCCTGACCATGATAACTGCAATTCTATAGTAGTCCTTCCTTTAGGTGAAGACTTTTGTTTTGGGGGGGGATTTTTGTTTTGTTTTGTTTTTAAAGATTTATTTATTTATACAAGCACTGGGTACAGTCAGAAGCACGGAGAGCCAGAGCAGAGAGCAGAACAGGAAGACTGACGAAATACACTGCTGAGAGGAGCAGCGGGCGGCAGGAAAGGTCTGCACACCATGTGGGACCCTCACCGGTGGCCGGGGATCAAACCGGAGCTGCAGAGGCTGCGGGCAGCTACGCAACCCAGCGTTCAACCGCTGCGCCACCGGGGAGGCCCTAGCTAGGTGAAGAATTTTGGATGGCGCCCCTGCCATTAAAAAGCAAATAACTTTAGTGGGAATATACCAGATTTAAGTCCTTAAAACCTAAAACCAGCAGCGTAGCCTTAGGGGTAATTTTTGCTGGAAGCTAGGAAGAAAGCATTGCCCTTCTTATTTTCTTAGGAAGCCAGGCAAAGCCTGAAGACTTAGGGCCCCAAGAGGTGGGAGTGGCAACATTCCAAAGGATATGAGTTAAAAGATACCTTGCAATGAAGCTAGATCCTAGTGGCAAAGAACTCTCACCCCAAGTTAAGAGTTAGGGGGTGTGGAGCTAGGGGTGTGTTTCATAAACTCTTGTTCCAAGTACCTGCCATTCTGCCTTGTCCCAACTCCGTTCCATTCTCCAAAAGCCTTACTGGGTGGGAAGCGTTCACACTTGTTTTAGGACACTCTTAAGACACTGGGTCAGCATCTGGGGAGCTGATGGCAGGATAGACATGCTTGGCCTAAACTAGAGCTGGGTCAAATTCTTTCCTGGGAGATAACCATCATTTCTAAGGCCAGAAGGGTAAATGAAAACTGCTTACCCCCTCAAATGCCAGTGGTCCCCCACTGAACATGTAAATACAATAAAAAGCTTCCCTAGCAGTTTATTCATCTGAGAATCCAGAAGCAAACATTTGTTCTCTAGAATTTACCTCTCTATTTAGAAAAAGAGAAGAAGGAAAATTATTTCACAATGCAGGTCTTGCTTGACTCACTAATGTTTAATTCATTTAATGAGACATTTCAGCTTGGCAAAGAAAGGCTTATTTAAGTCTGGGGCTAAATAGTATTTTTTTTAGAGTTGGATTTGAGAAATTGTAGCAGATTATGTTAAGGGACTTTTTAAATTTAACCAACTCATCATCATCTTTTTTTTTTTTCTTTGCTGAGCTTAGAATCACCTGGAGATCTTTTCAAAATCCTGTTCTCCAGCCCATACGCCCTCTAATTTAAATCCGAAAGCCTGGAGTGGGAGCCAGCCATCAGTAGTTGAAATTTCTGATCAACTAAGAACAGGGAAGAAAAAAAAAACAAAACTTGGGGGCTTAAATAGCTCATTTCTAGGTCAATCATACAGTTTAAAATAATCATAGACAATCATACAGTTTAAAATCAAGACAATCATACAGTTTAAAATATTTCAAATATTGTCAGTCTTTTTCTGTGATCAAAGATTTTCGTGAGGCAATAGATCTATGGAACAATAATTTACTAAATGTGATACCATGCTAATAAAATTTGCCAAATGGAGGCCAGAAACCAAGTCTGGGGTTATGAATGTATTGAGTACAGAAAGAACAAACTACGTTTTCTTGATATTTTTTACAAAGTTGGCATGTGATAGACACAAAGATAAGCACAGACACGCTTATGAGCCTAAGGAAGGTGTTCTTAATGAAAAGTGGACAGACCTCTTAGTCACCAGCAAAGAGCACTTAGAGAGCCTCATTAAGGATTTAAGTGAATCATGGTTATTTTTGAGCCATGGGGGTGGAAAAGGGGAACCAGAGAGAGGCTCTTTGCACCTGCATTTTGTCCTGCCATTTGGACACTAGAAATTAATGCCACTGCACATGCATATTTCCACTTCACGACTTCTAAAATTCTTAAGAACATTCCAAAAGTGAAGCTCCTCCCTACCCCCTCCAGCTGGAATGGGTGGGATTCAAGTCCCACAGAGATCAAAGAGCAAGCCTTTGCCTATTGTAAGGCCCACTGCCCCGTGAGTCAGCACCTGTACTCCGCAAGAATGCATAAACACACCAGAGCTGCTTTCTCTGGGGGAAGCCGGGTGGGAAGGGGATTTAAAAGCCCTCAGCAGCCTGGGGTAAGGTTTGTTTGTGTTTTCTCCCCGGGGAAGCGACTCCCTCGAAACCTCCCTTTGCTGAGCTGCTTCCTAGAGCTTGGAGTAAGGCTGGAGAGGGTGGCCTTCCCATTACATCTGGATGGCCGCAGGAGTGTTCTGCTGTGGTTAGCTCTGCTTACTTGCCCGCTGGGTCTTTAAATGGCAATTGTGGACACTCTGCAAACACTCCAGCTTGGGGTCTGGAAGCCCTCAGTCTAGACTGCAGCAGAAACCTGCTTGTCTCCCCACTTCTCTGGACCGGACTGAGGTTACCACTGGGACAATGGTATGTTCTTGGGTTCCTCCTGACCCAAAGGGAATTGGGTTACTGAACAGTTCTAGGGCAGCCCTTTGGGGGAACTAACCTTGAGCTTCTCTCCAGTTCAGGTTGTGTCTTGACAAAGCATCTTGGTCAGTCAGGATGAGTCTTGACGAAAGGGAGCGAGTGACTGAGAAGGGGTTGTGTGCTTTCTGCTGTATTTTCCTCTTACCTTTTCTTCTTTCTTGCGTTCTTATCATAACCTAGATTATCACCGCTTTTGTGAGCGCTTCCTTACCCTTCTTACTTTGCATTGCCACAATCGTGAAAAGATCTTACCTTTCAAAATACACTGAGGGGTAGAAGAAGGGAGATCAAGTGTAAGTTCATCTCTATAGCAAGCTCACCCTTTTAGCCTTAAGACTTTTAAGTGGCATCTACCTGACTGCTGCAGGGCCTGGCTGAGGCTTGACCTATTTGTGGTTTTGCTGCATTTATGGTTGAACTTTGCTTTAAAAAAATCTCTGAGGGAAACCTCAAGTCACATTTTTATGAAATTCATATTTATCACCCAGTAGGTGGGTGTGTAGTTGGTGATGTGTCTGGAGTCCCAATTTCTAGTGGGGTTATGGACAGATTTGCTCACACCAGCGAGCAATTCTCAGACACCAGTGGGGTGTTGGAGAATTCAGCTCAGTTGTGACAATTTACCTGCAGATAGTGTCAGACTGTCCAGGTAAAGGGCTCTGTGTTCTAAGCCCTCCCTCCACTCCAGAGGCCACCAGCCAGCCCCATCCAAGGTTACTTCTGACAGACAGGCCTTGAATAGACTTCCACAGATTGTGCTACTGACCAGCTACTTATAAACCAGGTTCCCCCGGACACCCACCACAGGTTTGATTAATTTGCTAGAGGCTCGCGGAACTCAGAAGCCCATTTATTTAGTAGATCACTGATTTATTATGGAAGGGATGCTTATGACAAGCATGGGGGAGAGGCACAGCGTCTGGCCCCTCTCTAGACACACCATTCTCTCCAATCATCACGTGTTCATGAACCTGGAGGCTCTTCACAGCCCCTCCTTTTGGGCTTTTATGGCGTTTTATTACATGGGCATGATTGATGAAGCCATTGACGTGCATCTTAAGCTCCAGCCCTATCCCTGCCCTGGAGTCTGAGGGTAGGACTGATTTAAATTGGTATCCTGGCAACCAGACCCCCTCCAGCCCAGGTGTTTCCCCTGCATTGCCTTTATTAACATAACAAGAGACACTTTATCATCACAACACTTTGGAAATGTCAGTGCTTTGGAGGGGGAGCTGTGAGTCAGGAACTGTGAATGCAAACCAAAGAGGTCTGAGATACAGATTTGGTCATCTGAATGACCAAACCTATCTTGCTTATCTTTTTTTCCTGCACCTGAGAGTTGAACCTTTGCCTTAAAAAAGAGTGTGTGATGGGAAAGAACCCTTCCAAGTGTCTAGTGGCCTCATGCATGACTCGCCCTGCCTGGTGTCACACCTTTTATCACTGTTGACAAGTTTAGTGTCTTTTCTGTCTGAACCTGCCTATAATTTGCCATAATCTTTTTGCTGTCTTGCAGGATTACCAGCCAGACTCCCAGAAATCATGCTGGTAGGATCCCAATCCTTCTCCCCTGGAGGGCCCAATGGGATCATCAGAAGCCAGTCCTTCGCGGGGTTCAGCGGCCTGCAGGAGAGGCGATCCAGGCAAGTAGTGTGCCCCCCTCTCCTGGGATGCTCTGAGGAAGGCCTGTGTGCAGGTGTCTTATCAACGCGCATGCCCCATGAGTGCACATGCAAGCACACACACACACCCCCATTTTTAAAATACTAAAAATTAAGTGCTTTTCTTTCTTCTCAGTGATTTAGAATTTCCCCTGCAGAGAAGATGGCGGAATAAGGCAGTAATGAGGGTCAGGCTGCCACTGTTTATTGGCTCCAGGGAGGAAGCAATTGTCATTTCGACTTGGGCTTGGGAGAGTTAGTCTTGTGTTTTCCCTGCGATGCTCCTCATCTAAAATAGGACTTAGGGGAGCCCAAGAAAGAAAGCACAGGTAGTGAAATAGGTAACGTAGAATGAGTTGGTGTTGGACTTTTCTGACCTAAGGTCCTCTGCTCTGAGAATCCTGTGTGCCCTCTGACCTGCACCGTCCTGCACAGGGTGCTGGCTGGGGAAAGTAACTCACCTGGGAGGCACCCAACAGGCAACTGCCAGACTGACAGCTCACACAGCTCACTGCTGACAGTGGGCCAGTGGGTGTTCCTGCCTCTTGGTCTCCAACCACATCTGGAGTCTGCAGCCTGCCTCCCTGCACTAATAGAGATGTTGAATTTTGTTACACCTAAACACATTGCTCCATAAAAATCTTGAAAAACAAAAAATAAAACTGTCTACCTGCAGGTACTTCTCCTGAATACTGTAAGAAATTACCATCTATCATGCTTATCACCCTTTATCACAAGTATTCACTTACATCCTGGTCAAATTTAATGGATGCCTATACCTGATGTTGACACTGCACATATATATTTTGAATTGGATTATAGTCTGCTCCCTGTTCATTGTTTCCACCTGGAAGGTGTGTCCTTGGCTTCCGATGAGGTTTTAGTGGTGTGATATGAGTTCACGTTACTGCAAGCCAGGCTTTGGTGCTGGATAGCCACTGCTGGCAAAGCTTCCAGATATTAACAGTTCACAAATCTTATGCCAGGAAACTAAATGTAGTAATTGCTCAGATCAGTTAATATCCAAGGGAAAGTTACCTCCCCACAAAGACACTAATACAAACACAAGATAATGGAGAAGCATTTCTTTAATCAAATCCTTTTGGATACTGGAGACTCACAATTTCTTTTGTTCATGACTCTTTCTATAGATGCAACTCCTTCATTGAAAATTCCTCTGCTCTCAAGAAGCCCCAAACCAAACTGAAGAAAATGCACAATTTAGGACACAAAAACAACAACCTTCCCAAAGAACCTCAGCCTCAAAGGGTGGAAGAGGTCTACCGGGCCTTGAAGAATGGACTTGAGTAAGAACCTTGAACCTCATAACACGCTGAATCCTATTCAATTATTTTTTTAAAAAGATTTATTTATGCATACAAGAACTGGAGTACAGGCCAAAGGTGGAGGGGGTGAGAGGATTCACTAGAGACAGAGTGGGGAGCAGAACAGGCAGATCCATTGAAATACACTGCTGAGGGGAATAGCGGGTGAGACAGGAGAGGTCTGCTGCGCCATTTGGGTAGCTCCCCGGCCAGCTGGGGATGGAACTCATGCTGCAGAGGCTTCAGGTAGCTTCATAGGTGGCGTCTTAACCCCTTGTACTACCAGGGAGGCCCACTGTTCCTTTTTAAAATGCTCAGTAGGGGCCTCCCTGGTGGCTCAAGGGTTAAGACGCAACCTATGAAGCAATCCGCATGGTGCAACAGACATCTCCTGACTTGCCTGCTGCTCCCCTCAGCAGTGTACTTCAGTCAGTCTGCCAGTTCTATTCCCCACTCTGTCTCTGGTGAATCCTCTCACCCTCCACACCTCTGGCCTGTACCCCAGCTCTTGTATGCATAAATAAATATATCTTTTTTAAAAGATGCTCAGTAAGAGTCACAGAAACCTAGTCTTAGATGATCATTTAGAAATGATCTTAAGTGTCTTAAATGTCTATTTCCATTGTAGATATTTTTTTCTTGCACCATAATTGAGGAAGCTGTAAACAAGGCCCAAAGGCGTGAATGTTGCATTCCTATATCATATCATAACCTTGAAGGAGACCAGAGCTAGTAATGTGTTTATATTTAACTTGGTCTTCTGTTGAATTTCACTTAGACAATGTTGATAGGCCTGTCCATTTTAGAGATTACTGAAGAAGGGTTCTAAAACCTTCCTAAGTATGTGATAGGGATTATTTGCTCAGAATAAAACTTCCCTGGCGTGTCTTGAGACATCTGCTGCTGGCACTGTACTGGACTAGAGAGAAATCTGTGAGACTAGATCCAGGACTGACTTGATCACTGTCTGCCTCTGACTTCCCCATGCTTTTTGCCTTTATGGACTCAGTCTCACTGGGGTTCTCCTTTTTGACCATCTGGATAGAGCTTTTAAGATGTCAAGAGACAGGGACAATACAGAGTTTCTCCCCCACCGACACTGCCTGTCTACAGAGCAAGGGTCAGATTCTTAATCCCCTTTCTGAGGGAAAAGGTCAGTACCACCACCAGATTCCACTGGACATTCATGATGATCTCATCTTATCTTTGCAGTGAATACCTGGAGGTTCACCAGACGGAGCTGGACAAGTTGACAGCACAATTGAAGGATATGAAAAGAAACTCTCGCCTGGTCAGTACCATCCTGTCTTGAGGATGTTAACATGCATTCCTCTTCTTTAACCATGTATCATCTTTTACAGAATGGGGATGAGGCCAGGGAAGAACCTTTAAGAAATGCAGATCCAAGGGGAAAGCACTGCTCTCTGATTTGTATTTAGAAGGAAGAAAATGGCTAAGTTTCTTAATTAGCTTTATTCATGGTATTTTCCAAGCATGTTTGTGCATGTAAACTATAACCAGGAAAAAATACTTAAGAAACTACCCATACTTCTTCCCCTTACTGAAATGTACAGTGTTGTCCTTCTCAGAGGCTTAAAGGTTAAAGGCTTTCAGAAGTTAAAGGTTTTATATTCTAATAATATCAGGGTATAAATTGCCCCCTTCTCCCTGGAACTCCTTGTGGAATGACCTTGGGAGCTTTGGAATGCCCTTGACTGTCTTTAGTGCAACAAAATACTCCTCTGAGGAGCACAGTGGCAAGTGGAGGAGTTTCCCCCAGGACCTAAGGGAGGAGTCCCTGATGGGCCTTCTGGGAAAGCGTACTGGTTCGACTGTGATATTTCGGGCACAGAGTAAGTAAACTTACCTTCAAAACAATTTATGGGGAGCATATCACCGCCCCCAACGACTCTTCTTAAATACCAGTTTTACATGTTTAAACGGGAAAGCAAATCTTTTTTTTTTTCCTTAAACACATATCTCACTGCTACATTTTATGCTAAAGATATTTTTTAAATGAAAAAGTGAACATGAATTTACATGTCCCCACTATGTAGAAATCCTTGAAGCAAATGAGAACCTTAAAGCTCCCAACAGGGACAGAGAGTTGGGTAGAATTCTGGATACAGAGTAAAGATAAATACTGGTTCTTAGACATATTCTTATTGGTACTTAAAATAAGTACTTTTTAGAAGCAAACATCCAAAAATCCAGCAAAATTTTGTAGGATGGATCATAATTTTGCTGGTAATGCAGAAATGTAGATGACACTAATTATGAATATCAGTAACAAGTTTGAGGAAAATATGTTTTAATCCAGATACTCCTTTTTTTTTAACTTTAGGGTGTGCTGTATGACCTAGACAAGGTAAGTTACTGTTCTGCATTGGACTGTTGCTAAAAATAAAACCCGCATCCTTAAATGGCGATTAGTGATTTCCTCTTAAGTATAGTAAGATCCTAGAAAATGGAATTTTTTAATCCTAGAAAAATTCATATTCTTGTCTAATGAGGATGATGAATAAGGACCACAATCCCCAGACCCAAGAATGACTTCAGGTTATTTCCATTCTCGGTGTATTAATAAGTTTCCTAGCTTCCAGAGTTATTTGGAGGTCCTTATTGTGTTCTAAGTACTGATTTCCATATTTCATCAAGTCAAGGACATCTTTGATTGGAAAGCACACCACTAATGATTTTATGGGCCACTAGGGGAAAAAAAATTATTCCAGCCAAATTCTGGCTGTTTTTTTTTTTCCACTTAAAATTTCTACCTTATACTTAGTGACAAAACTTTTAAGACTATTTTAAATGTAGATTTTTAAATTTATGTGTGCTGCCTCTCTTTACCTGCCTTTCTGTGTCTACAGTAACTTTCATGCTGATTCATAGTATACTTTTTTTGAAGATGTTTTAAAGGGTAATTAAATTTAATACATGTAATAACAATATTTATAACTCAAATGAAGAAATGGCACATGAACTATGATTATCTTCGCTCATGCACAGACAATAGCAATTGTAAAATGCACCTCAATTTCAGATATGTATGAGGGGGTTGATCTTAGAGCTGATAAAATGTTATAAAGGAATAGAAGTGTATTCTATAATACTGTTCTAAAGTGATCCAAGAATTTCATTTGATTGGCCTTCTTTGATGTCATATACAAAGTCTTCACTCAAATGCTTCTCTCAGGCTCTTCAACATTAAAATAAACACTTTCAATATTGATATTAGAGAATCTCTAAAATAGGAATAAAGATAGGAAAGGGGAAATGAGCGTTTTCCAGTACTCTTGATTATGAGATAATAAAGAAGATAGCCTCAGAAGTCTAGATCAATAAAACTATAAATGGCTGTACTTGTTTACAAACTTCTTCTTTTAATTCCAGCAAATTAAAACGATTGAAAGATACATGAGACGCCTGGAGTTTCACATTAGTAAGGTAATTGAAGTTCCTGTTGGTTTGCCTGTTTTCCCCTTCTCGGTTGCTGATGATTACCCCTTTGGCCTGAACAGAACATCTAGTCCATGCAGAATTTCTTCTCTGTTAGATTCATGGACAAATTAGCAATTAAATTCTTCAACAAGCAGTAAAAATGGAGAAAAACTGAAAACGGAGTGCCCAATAATGAGCTCAGTTATGCACAGTTATGACTGGACTTTCGTTCACAAATACATAAGAAGTCTTCCAGTGTTTACACACAGTGCTTTGCTGGAAGATTTGCAGGTAGAGACAAGATTGCACCAAACTGATGCCACCAAAAAGGTCATGCTTGCCTGCCTTTGCACTAAGGTCTCACATATAACTCAATACCTCACAAACTTCTTCCTAAAGGTCTTGAAAGTACTGGAAGGCAACTGTCATTGCTCCTTAGTCTTTCTCGAGCACTTACTTCCTTTCCCACCTGACATTGTTTCCAGGTGGTTGTTCACCTTCCTGGACTCCCTAGTCATGCGCCATCCCAGATGTCCAGCCCTGAACCTTACAAATAGTTCACTGATGCTCCAACCAGCCTAATGTGGAGTGGGGCTATTAGTCCCTTATTCTGAATATTCTAGAAAATGTTCCCTTTGGGAGCTGCTAGATCACAGCAGTAGTAATTCCCTGTTCCATACATACACATCCACCTCTGTCAGTGGAGAGACTGGACATTTTTGCAGATCACTTTACTAGGAATCAGGAGCCAGGGGTTCTAGTTCAGCTCTGCATGTATTCACTGGGCTTTGACATCTACCTGGGCCTTGACTTTCCACTCTGTGAAATGGGGCTAGGGAGGTATATGTACATAAGCTAGATGGTCCTTGAGAATTCTTTCAATTTAGAATGCTATGATGATGATCTATATCTGTGCTACTTCCTTCGTGCATTCTCACTTTGAAAAATATTTATTACCCTTAGGCAAAACTAAAATTGTTCCTGTTTCTGTTAAATTCAATCAGTAAATCCATGATATCCACTAGGAGGTAATTTAATGTGGCAGGCAAGCTTTGACAAACTGCTCCATTTGAAAAACCCTAGAAAACTAAATCAGCGTTAGATTGTAGTCTATCTATCCATCTTATAGCTTTCACTGTCAGCTACAACAGTTTGAATGATTGTTAAAGATTAGTGGTGCTTTATTTGTAGTGCCTCAGACGCTGGATGCCTAACAAATTATATGTGGCTGAACAAGTCAGTCAATTTATTTGAGGGCCATTGCTGACATGTAGATAAGAAAGATTTGCCTGGAGATGCCTTGCTTCTGCTCAGCTAAGTGCATGGTTGTCCTTTATCCTAAAGTTAACTCCATCTGACTAGGACAGGTTGATACTGAAATGAAAACGAAGAATAAGCTTTTCTTTAAATGCAAAGTAATGGACCAAGTTGCTTGGGCGACACCACTGGCCCAGCGAGCAGCCTCCGTATTGGGAGGATTACAATCTCAGACTTCAGTGCACTCAGTCCTGGGAAAAGGGTTGAAGGGATCATATGGGGGAAAGAACCTGGCTTGCATAGGAAGAGCTCTCAGTGATTGTATTTCAAAATGTTTTATGTTGACCTCCCACAGCTAAACGATTCCCAAGGCTTATTTAAAATTTCAGATTTCTGGCCCAACCTACTGAATCAGTATCTCAGAGTGGGGCCTGGGTATCAGCATTTTCACAAGCTCACTGGGTGAGGCATAGCTTCATTTTAAAATATGAGGACCATCCTCTATGCCAATCACCAACCCAAAGACTCTATCAGAAGACATGCCACCTCTTCTCTCTTGTTACCTTGCTCTTGATCAGAGACAAAAACCATTGACCCCAAAGATGAAAGACTACTATTTCCAAAACTTGGCAACTCCTCTCAGAGTGAATTGTTAGAGTAAAGAGCAACAAAGAATCCTTTACCTAGAGAATAATTTTCAGTCTTTTAATGTTCATCTTCCAACCTAAGTATAATTGTCTGTATAGATAAAGCAACAATAGAAAATTGTCATGGAGTAATGCTTTTCAATGAACAGCCAAAAATTTCCCTTCAGAAAAATAAGGGAATCTTAAACTTTGAAATCCATTATGTTCATCTCCACCTTCTTCTGGATCTGCAGTTTAAGCTTCTTCTTTTTTTGAGAGAACAAAGTTTATACTGACATGAAATTTTCAGGTAGTCCTTGGTCGATACATGCCTTCTAGAAGTAATAGATTTCATTAACTTCTGCTGACGCCTGTTAAGAACTGCCCTTTTTATCTGTCTGCCAGTTCCTGTAGTAAGCTGTGGTCAGCACGTTGATAACTAAAGCTAGTACAAGTCTATAAAAATCATTGTTGTCAGGAATAACTAGGTTTGTTCAACCTAGACACTATTGATATTTTGCAACAATTCTTTGTGAGGGCACTGTCCTCTGCATTATAGGGTGTTTAGCAGAACCCCTGGCCCATGTCTGTTAGGTGTCGCTAGCATCTCTCAACTGTCACACTGAAAAATGTCAGATATCCCTCAGGTGTCATAATGGCCTTGGGTGGATTGAGAAGCATGCATGAAGTGATTAACAGGTTTCTATAATGAGGATGATCAATAGTCTTTTGCAAAGGGTGTATTATCCTTTAGTAGCATTAAAGATAAAGGTTCATTTCCATTGCTTCTATTTTTTCAAATTGCAATATAACTTACATACAAGAGATTTCACAGTTCTTAAGTATTCAGTACTTAATGACATTGAATAGGTTTTGATAATTGTGCTTCCCTAATTTGAGAATGAAGTTAATCAGTTCTTTTCCTCTCTTTATTGTTGAAGCTATTTACTGGAAAAGATCTTTGTAAAATCAGCTCAAATTAAAAAACAAAAAAGCTAAATCGGGATGTGTGAATATCACTTTGTGACACTTATCTCTTAAAATAAAGTGATAATAGCTCAGTATACTACAAGGTGTTCACCTTGGTGTGTGAAGCTGTATAAAGCCTTCTAGTGTTTATTCCACATATGAAAGACCCCTGTCTCCACTCTACAATACTTGTCTTGCACTATTCACTGATGTTCATTTTTGTTTTGTGAACATTTGTAAAGAGGGCTCAGAGGACAGTCTGTATTGAAAAAAAAAAAAAAAGATCATACTGGTCAAAACATAGATTGGTCTCTGTCTAAAAGGATGAGTCATCTACAAGAATCTCCTTGTTGAGATCAGAATCAGGAAGAATGTGAAGCACTTTTAGTGGCCTGTGTATCTTCTTTCAAGTATGATAACTATTTCTGTCCCTGTGTTCCCTGCTCTGACTCTGGCAGGTAGATGAACTCTATGAAGCTTATTGTATCCAAAGACGCCTCCAAGATGGTGCCAGCAAAATGAAGCAAGCCTTTGCAACATCCCCTGCCAGCAAAGCTGCCCGAGAGAGCCTGTCAGAGATCAACCGGAGTTACAAAGAGTACACAGAGGTATGTGGAAACCTGGGTCCCATCGAAGGTGTGGGTACCTTCCAAGAAGCAGGTCCTGCAGCCTCATTCTACTCTGTACAGAGATGTTTTGCTATTTGCCTTGCCTGCAATGGGGGGTAGGGGGGTGGGAGCGGGAGAGGGGTGGGTGGGGACTATCAGTGGAATTGTTTAAAATGACTCTTGCATAGTTTCGTGGAATCTGTTTATTTAGAGCCTTGACTGGACTCCAGTGCATGTACCTTTCTCAGTCTAAACCACAAGGGTTTGGATACTACACAGTCATGCACTAGCCAAGTCTTCATGTTTTCTGTGCTGTCATGCACAGTCTCTGCACAGGTAGACTACAGATCCTTGTCAAGACTGCAGTGAATGAATAAGCCACAGTGCAATGGTTTTTGTCATTCAGATTCTCCAGTGTCAAATCTAATGCAGCTTTAGGCCTGGGTGTTGACGACTTCGTAGTTGAGATGGCAACCCTGAATGCTGAGTGACCCTCACCCTCCTGCCTACAATTGTTTTAAGAAATGTTCCTTCTACCTCAGGAGGCAAAATAAAGAACCATGAACCCAAGTGGGCTTTCCTGTCTCTGAGGCTTAAGCCTATGACCCCGGGAGGTATTTGCTCCTCCTGGGGCCACCTGATACCAGTGTCTTTGATGAAATGACTGAATTATTAAAGCAGCTTGTCTCACTATCCCATGAGTCTTTGTTCAGAGATCCAGTTTCATGAATGAAGTCATCGGCCTGATGAAGGTCTGTTGGACAATTCCCAGAGCTGAGCGTCTGTCTTGGCCCTAGGCCGAGCAGGCCCTCTTGGGTGGTTAATTGGCAGGGTCATTTGAGTGTCCTCCAGCAGCACCTCTTGTCTGAACCATTTTTGTCTTTCATGACCTAAAATTGAACTTCTTCCTGAATTCACCTTTCAGAATGTTTCATAAATGCATGAAATAAAATACACAGGCTTTCGAAGGAAACAGATGATATTGAACTAGTCATTTCCATTTTATCAGCACAGTTATCAAAGTATTTTAAAAATACGTGACGTAGGCCTGTGGTTTAATGCTGCTTGATGAACACATCCAACTCAAGTATAAGAACCAGCACTGGCTCTAGTTGTTTGAAATCAAGATTTCTAAGTAGGAATAATTATAAATGATTTATCAAGGTGTCTGCATGAATGATGTGACATGAACATATATGTGATTCAATTGGTGTCAAGGTCGCAGGTGCTGGTATAACTACTGTGACTTGCTTTCTACATTCGTGATATGTCTACATGTTTCTGAAACAAGGGAGCAGTTATCCATTGGGCTGTTCACGACCCAGGAGCAGATTCCTGACAACTGCAGGCCCTCGACCTTTCATGAGCCCGTTCAGAAATAGCCACCCTTCATCAAGTGCCAAGACATGCATCCTACGTTGCTCACAAACTCAAAGGTGTAGAGTGTGATTTCAACAAGAGGAAGGGCTGCCTGGGAGAGAGTGACCGGGGCTTCTGTAGCTTCGTAGCTCACTTGACACAAGTGGTTTTGTATCTCCACATCCTACATATCCAGGATTTATCATGAAGGGCAATTAGAGCGAAATGGCATTATATGCTTTTGCATCTGTGATTCTCAGTAGCAGCTGTGTGGGTGAGACCGAAAACTCTGGGCCTGGGTATCCTCAGCTGTTAAACTAACTGACCCCCTGAGTTTTTTTAGAGATACTGGTAGCAGTTCTAATATGTGTGGTGATATCCTTGATATTTCTGGAAATATGTTCCCTCACTGAGATGCCCAGTCTTTGAGGAAGAAAATTGGTTTGTAATACCGAAACTGCTTTCAAAGCATTCAAGCTGCATAAAGCTCAGCCTTCTAGAAGTTTCCCCCAGCTTTGCTAAACTAGCTGAGGGACTAAGAATTGACCGTGGAAGAGGCAATGCCATTTTCTTAGAATCCCTTCAACGCACCAAATTCAGGAGCATGATCTTTCAGAACAGAATAAAGGGACAAGCAAGAATTAGGAGCTCTGAGGTCCTTAGCAAACAAAAGTCAAATGGCAGCAACCCCCATGGAAACTCACTGAGCACTGTGCTTGGTAGGAATGGCTACCCTGAGCCTTGATCCTTGATAGAGGCTGATGGTGAGGGAGAAGCTGCAAATGTTCCCTCCAGGCTGGGGTGGGGACTGCTGCTAAGAATAAGCAGAGGTGGCATCCAAAGCTTAAGCTGGCCAAGCTGCAGAAGGGCCTCACTGGGGACAGCCCCCCCACCCCACCCCAGCACTTTCCTTTTCAATTTCAAACTCCTTGCTCTTGTTAGGCCCATACTGAGGAAGTTACTCCTCTAACCACAGGCATAGCTGGTGTCACTCCTTCTGCCCTTGCTGTTCCCTCAAACTTAAAATGGAGGGGACTCCTGTCAGCCCAGGAATCATTTTGGGGATGCTGTGGCACCTGACAGTAAATGATTCGTGACATATCTCCCCATAAATATTGCATGGATCCCTAATGGTTACTTACATAACATGCAAGATTCCCTGCAGAATCACATACCATCATTAGAAACTAAGAAAGGGAGCAATCCTTTTCTATAGAATTATCAAATAGCCCATGCACTTTCTACATTTCCCCTACGTGGCCCCAAAATGTCTTTTATAACTGTTGTGGTTCATTTACTTTCAGGTCAAGGATGCAATGAAAGTAGTTATAATAATGCTTTTGGTTATTATGTCTCTTCAGTCTTTTTCTATCTAGAATTTTCTTGCCAGAATATTGCCTTTTTGTAGACTCTAGGCTAGTTCTCATAGAATGTCCCTGAATTTGTCTGTTGATGATATAATTGAACTTCTGCGACTCTCTTGTGCATGGAGGGCTTGCTTAATTGTAGGTGAGACATTTGGTCAAGAATACCTCATTGCCAGTTCTGGATCGCTCGTTGCAAAAAGGTCAAGTCCTCCTGCTGTTGACCCATGCTTGTCTCTTCGAATGCCAGCCACTTGTTTGACAGGCCTCTAATGCTAGTCCTCTGTACTTTTCACAGAATATGTGCACCATTGAAGCTGAGCTGGAGAATCTGCTGGGGGAGTTCTCTATCAAGATGAAAGGTACTCTTTTCCCTGTTTGGGGAGAGTAAGACAGCAGCTCTGCAGGGCTCCTTGAAGTTTGCGCACGCATGCTATTTTTATTTTCTCTGCAAAGACATTCTCCATCCTCTCCACTTACGTGACTTTATTGACACTTCAGAAGCTTCTCATCCTGAGGCCTGCCTACACACTTAAATATTTATTATGATGGCATCTGCAACATACACAAATGGGAAGAGACTGTTACAGTGATATTCTCCCCAGCATGTCACAATTAGCAAGATTTTGCCTCATTTGCTTTATCTGTTTTCCTTACTTGAAACCCAATCCAGATATGTACCTCTACCCCCATAGACATTCATGTGCCTCTCAAGAGCAGGGATGTCTTACATGACCACAGTGTCAAGTATGATGACACCAAGTCAAGTGACCAGGTGTTTGTTATGAATCCACCCCATGATCAGATTTCCTGAGTGGTCCCCCAAATGCTTTGAACAATTGGTTTGTTCACATCAGGATCTAAACCTGGTGCAAGCATTGTTATTGGGGGTTAGGTGTGTCTCTGAGCTTTCCTTTCTTCTAGATCAGACCCCCTCCCATCCTGTCCCCCCACCGTGGTTGGCTCATCACAGAAACCACTGTGGCACAGAATGTTCCATGCTCTGTCTGTTTGGTCTGTTGCTTCTGCCTAGTCTCATAAAATTGTTTCTTGATGCTCTGTGTTTCTTTTAAATACCTACCAAGTTTTAAATTTTATTTTGTGTTTATATTTTAAGTCACAGAGGACTATGCATTTTCCTTTTTTTCTGTGCCCAGTTCCTTTCTGATATCTACTCCAGAAAGTTCTCCTCTAGAAGTAGTATAGATTGCATGGCATTTCAGAACAAAAAGAAACTGGCTGGAGACAATGGAGTATCACCCGGGTGTTGTGGGATTTACCGCTAGGCTGGGCTGTCAGATAAGCAAACCCATTTTTCGTTGGCGTTTTGGCCTGTTGATCTGCAACAAAGAAGGCTGTTGCTCATACATTTTTTTTTTCTGAGGTTTTTTAGCAGTCTGATCCCTGGGTTGCTAATGGGGACTTAATCACCCTCTTGTATACTTTTTGCAATTAAGGGAGACAAGAAGGGGGGACTTTTTTTAAGGGCTCACCAGGAGAGCTTCATTTCAAATGAGTCATCTAACTCAGGGGGGCGGAAATTTTCTGTCAAGTTCTATGCTTGACATGTGAGAGCAGCTCTGAATACCTGGGGTAAAAATGACCTTGACTCTCAGCTTCCACATGGAAGTCTTCTGTTCCGCGGTCCTGATAGTAAACCAGTTTGTTTGTTAGTGTCCAGTCTCACTGGGGAGGGGCCGCTGTGCATTCCCCTTCGCTTGGGTCCATTCTCTTCATTCTGGATGTTCACCTGAGTCACTAGTTCCAAAACCACCGCTCCCTGCCCCCTTCCTAGCACATCACAGCCCACGGCCCCAGAGTGAGTGTCATATTTAAACCCCAGGCTGATTCTGGAAAATGACCCTGAATCTGTGCTTAGCCACAAACGCTTTCTTCTCCCCCCACACCCAGGGACCATCCGAGCAGATGAACAGAGTTAATATAAAGAGTGTTGAATTTCCCTTATTTTTGATGCTCACTATTATCAAATGCATCAAGCTTTGCTGGGGCAATAATTTCCCCATATTTTAGATGGCAAGTGACAGGTAAACAACTGTGCCAGAAGTCACACAGTAAATTGGACTCAGACTTGAAACTGAATTCCAGGGCTCTTGGCTCCTAGTACATTCAACCCCTAGGCCTGTATGAGGACGGGTGTTCTAACAAAGCTCAACCATCACTCAAAGAATGATCTTTTTTTTTTTTTAATTTTAATTTTTCCAGTATAAACAATCAAAACTTTAAAAGTACCTCAAGTGCTTTATTTGTATCCCATAGTTTTATTTTTTTGTAAATAAATTTTATTTTTATATTCCCCATACAATTGCAACCCCCTTATTTTGACCCCAATCCCTCCCCTCCCTGCCCCTCACCCCCCATAGAGTGTCTCTGGTTCATAGGTTTTTGTTGATTTTGATCTCTTCTAGAGGAGAGTCTTCTTTAGTTGAACATACAGGCACAGAGTCGTGGGATGGCAGCTTCAGGCCTGAGAGCATGGTGGGTGGTGGTGGGGGGGGGAACCTTGGCAACCCAGCCAACAGCAGCACCGGGTGGCCCTCCTTTTCCATCTCTACCTCTCTGTGGTGTTTGCTTCCTGCCTAACTTGCTTCTTTAGCTTCTCTCTGGACTCAGGCTTTCTCCCATTGGATCGCTAGGCCTGAAACTGAGTCTTTTTTTTTTTTTTTTTTTTTCAGTGTAAATTTATCTCACTTCCCCTTCCCTAATTTAACACAAAAACTCAAACCACATCTATGAAGCCTTTCAAGGGTAGCACGCCCATGGATAAAAGGAAGTCCCCTCGTGGTGCCAAGAAAGTTCTGCAATTTCTTATCTCTGGTTCATTCTGGTAAAAGTAATCTCCCCCAACATAAATATTGACAGAAACTGAGAATATTTCAGAACATTCTCAGACCTGGTAACCCAGCTTCCTCCTGCCGTGTCACATCCTTCCACACTTCCCTTTTTGTTCTGTCCCCAATAAACACAACCACCAAGAGGGTTGGGGGGATGATGATATAGACACTTGAAGCTGAGCTCCTTCTAAGCCCCTGCTATTGGCCCAGCACTGGGTGAATCCTGAGAAAATGGATGAATGAACCAGTGTGTTCCAATTCCATAGAATGAATGATCTACTGGACCAACAGAGCAGATTACTACAGAAGAAGAGGAGAGAGCAGGGAGGAGGGGAAGGGAGCAGGGAGGAGGAAGTTTCCCTAATGTAAACTTTGAATCTTTCACTGAGCATTGATGGGCAGAGGGGGAGGCTGCAGTGCATGCTGGGAGAGAGGAGAGGGCTAGTTGGTGCCAAATTTTGAAGAGCTTTGAATGGCAGGTTAAAGAGGGGACTGTCTACCAGCAACTAGACTGGTGGTCTTGAGAAAAATGTTTTTTTTTTTCTCCCAATTATTACTTAGTTCTAATTAAGTTCCAGGCAGAGTGGATCTCTAGAAGGCTGTTCTGGCTCCTGGAGCTTCTAGGGCAGGAGAGGAAAGAATGGCCAGTGGACTAGGAAATCTGTATTATTTATGCCTGGTCAATAAAATCAGTAAGGTCTGTAACCCAAGACCCTGGAGTGGCTGTTTTCCCTGGAGCAGAAGTGTGACTCTTGGAAAGCAAACCATCTGAGAACTGGAAAAAGTTCTTCTGAAAGAGTGGCCCTAACCAGAGGCAGATAGTGGTGGGCGGTTGCATCCGGCATCATCTGGGCTGCTAAACAAAGCTGTGGAAGAGCTGGGTTTTCAGTAATAAATTATGAAACACCCAAAAGGTCAGGGAAGATGAATAACTTTTTAAATGACAGTCCCTGCCCCCCCCCCCCACACACACACCCATTTTCCTGGATGCCCAACCCCATGGTAGCTGAGTGGCCATAATGATGGCTTTTTACACAGCATAACAGTAATCACAAAACTGCTGAGAAAATATTAAGCTTTTCCCTAACGGTGAAAATCCTGCAGGCCTGAGGCCAGTCTCCAAGACTGGGCAGGTTCAGGAGACATTAGGCTGGCAGGTAACCTAACTGCCCTGCTGCTCATTTCAGTCCTGTCTATGCCAGTAATGCAGGGAGTGGCTTACAGGAGCAGTGTTTATAAGCATAGCCCCGACCTGGTTTTGTCTGTTTGTAACAGGGTGGTCCCCAGGAAAAAGGGAGGTTCCAGGTACCCTGCCCCTCCCAGAGGAGGGTAGAGCTGAGCAGACTAAAGAAGCAGCTGCAGAGGAGACAGGGGATGGAATGGAGGATGGAGAGCAAGGAGACCTGGAGGAGGCACATGGAGCAGAGAGAAATTGTAGTAGGGTGGTCCCCAGGAAAAGAGAAGGGGCAAGGAAACTGGAACCTCCCTTTTTCCTGGAGACCACCCTGTTACATGTTGTCTTTTGCTAATTATTATAATCCGGCATTGGTGTGATGCCACTACCAGCACCTCCAAAAAATTTCATTTTTATAACGTGGCTGAGAAGCATAAGAACATCATCACCAAAGTCATTTCATCCCAATGTGATAAGTTCTTCAGATATATAGATTTCTGATCATTTTGAAGCTTTCAAACTGTTGCAGAGCAGCCCCGATAAAACCACGTCCACTTTGCCTAGTACTGGTACAGATCAGTGTACTTTTAGTAACTAGACCCCCACTCTAATTGCGCAAGTAAATAGTGAATGAATCCGGAACTGATTTGCAGAGGTTTTTTAGGAACGTGTTGAATTTTATTTAAAATGGCCATGTCCAGCTCATTCTGATTTCAAAAAAAAAAAAAAACCTGTGAATTGTGCTTTATTTCAGAAATAGATTTTTAAAAAACTAAGTCCTCCCAAAAATTATTAGTGAAAATTGATTTAATTTGGCTCCTACTTCACAAAATCTTTTTAAGTGGCTTCTTCCAATTAGTATTGACAACTGGTCCTAAATGAACTGGCTCCTGGGGAGGGAGACATGCCCAGCTAGTGAGTTGCTGCCATCTATTGACAGAGAGTGGTAACAGCAGGTGCTTTTTAAAGCTTCCCTGGACCTCCTGTATCACCTTAACCTGGGTAATGTCTGAGACCAGGGAAAGCAGATAAATCTGTCCCATGGGCTCACAGCTTGGACACCGCCCCCATCACTTTTACCTGGATAAAATCAAATTTAAACGACTATAAAACACACAACTCAGAGGTCACAGGTGGCAGTGTGAGGAAGGTCCGCAGCCAGGGGCTCAGTCTGTCTTCTGGGCGTCTGTGAGTGACAAATGGAGGAAATACAGGACTGTTTTTTTACCAACTAATCAATATTTCCTCTCAGGCCACCTATGTGAAAAGAGAAAGATGGTTTTGTCTTCTCACGTCTGTTTTAAAATTTTGTGATTGGTACCTCCGCTTTAAAAAAAAAAATGGAAATGTACCAAAAAATGTAAAATTGCTCCATCCAGTGCTAAACTCTTAAAATTGCCATGAATAGTCAACCTTTTCTCTGTATATGCCACCCACTAGCATTTGTGATTTTTTTTAATATCCTTTTTCTTATAAAATAGGTGATATTTGAAAAAAATCAAATAAAAATTACATTTAACTTTCTCCATAATCTCCCCATAGCAGAAATAATTATTTCCTTTTGGAAAGCTGATGTAGACTTTATTTCCCATGGATACATTTTTATATAGTGGAGTTCATGTTCTACATGTTTTGTAACTGCTCTTTTTATTTTTATTTTTTAAGATTTAGTTATTTATTTATATAAGCACTGGGTACAGTCAGAAATGCGAGGGTGAGAGAATTCACCAGAGCCAGAGTGGGGAACAGAACAGGTGGACTGACGAAGTACACTGCTGAGGGGAGCAGCGGGCGGCAGGAGAGGTCTGCGCACCATGTGGGACCCTCCTCCGGTGGCTGGGGAGCAGCCGGGGATCGAACTGGCGCTGCAGAGGCTGCGGGCAGCTTCGAAGCCCAGCACTCAACTGCTGCACCACTGGGGAGGCCCCTGTACCTGCTCTTTTAAAATGAAATATTACATTATAAATATTGTCTTTTAGTCAAAGTTCATTCAATATTTGTATCAAATTCTTAGCTGGGATTTTTTTCTCTCTCTTATTTTATATATATTTTATTACATCATTCTTGTACAATGTATGCTTTTTCCTCTCAGGTGTAGTCCCCGTGAAATTCCCACCACCAATACAACCATGTCCTATCACCATAGTCCCATGTGCTCTCTGCACCCCAGTTTTGATCCTTTACCCTCCTCCTCCCCTGAAGAATGTCTCTGATTTATAGTTGCCTGTTGATTTTAATTTTTAATTTATTATAATTTTCCCCCTGATCCCTTATTTGTTTCCTCTACATGCCTCCTATAAGTGAAACCCTCCAATAGTTTTCTTCCTGGCTTACTTCACTGAGCATAATCTCTTCCAGCTCTATCCATGTTGCTATGAATAGCATGAGTTTAACTTTTTTGATTGCTGAGTAGTATTCCATTGTGTATATGTACCACATCTTCTTGATCCAGTCATCTGTTTTTGGACATTTGGGTTGTTTCCATAGCTTACCTATTGTACAGTGTTGCAATAAACATAGGGGTGCAGGTGTCCTTTTGAATTAATGTTTTTGTGTCCTTTGGGTAGATACCTAGAAGTGGAATTGTTGGATCCATTTTTTATAGTTTGAGAAACCTCCACACAGCTCTCCATAGCGCTTGGACCAGTTTGCATTCCCACCAACTGTGTAGGAGAGTTCCTTTTTCTCCACATCCTCGCCAACATTTGTTGTTGCTAGTTTTTTTATTATGTGCCATTCTCACTGGTGTAAGGTAGGTGGTATCTCATTGTGGTTTTGATTTGCATTTCCCTAATTACAGGAGATGTTGAACACTTTTTCATATGCCTGTTAGCCATTTGCATTTCCTCTTTGGAGAAATGTCTTCTAAATTCTTCTTCCCATTTCTTGACTGGATTGTTCACTTTGTTTTTGTCGAGTTGTGTGAGTTCTTTGTATATCTTTGTGATCAGTCCCTTATCAGTTTTATGGAGTGCAAAAATATTTTTCCCAATCGGTGGGGTGTCTCTTTGTTTTGGTTAATGTCTCTTTTGTTGTACAGAAGCTCTTTAATATTATGTAGTCCCCTGAGCTGGGATTTTTTTAATCATAAAATTTTATTGGTTCTTTTCCCCAGAAAATGCAAGAGTGCTAAAGATTTTTGCCCAGCTTTACAAAATTTGTTTCCTTTCTTGATTAAAACTTTGTTTTCTGGTCCCTAGTAGGATAAGGGAAGCCTAGTTGGTCAGTTTTCTTAATCACAATTTTTGCATAGATTATAATCCATCTTCAGTAATATATGACATGGTCAGTGGTGATATCATTATGCCATATAGATAGGATAAGGAAAACAAGAATAGGTGAATTGGGGAGAAGCAAGGGAAATAAGTACATGGAATCTTAACCCTTTGGGAGGTACTCATCAGAATCATAAATCTCGGTACAGAAAGAAAACCGTTTATTTTTAGGGAAATTTATTGGGTAAATAAGTGATAGATTGTTTTCTGGTTCTGATTCCCTGATCATAGAATCAGGCTGGACGATTGATCAGTTGGCCAAAACTATATCTAGCTCTAGCCCCCACTAAAGAGGCTTCTCTGGCCCAGGAACTCATCTTATGTCACTCCATTAAGCAGTGTCCTCTCCAAATGCTGTAGATAACTGCTCCACAGATGGTCCCCCAAAAGGTCACATGAGTTTTCACCAAGGTCTGACACTTGAATTTTACAAATGTGCCAGTATGGGTTTATGAGGAGGGGAGATACATTCTGTCTCAAACCCCAATTGTTTGCCTACAGGTCTGGCTGGCTTTGCTCGTCTCTGTCCAGGGGATCAGTATGAAGTAAGTATTGTATCAATTTGGGCTTGGAATTGAAGAAAGACAGGAGTCAGTTGTCATATTTTCCTTCTTTCATTTTGGGGGTCATTGTTAAATTTAAAAAGTTGAAACCAGTAAGAAAGTGTAGAAACTGGTACAAGATCTCTCATATACTCTACATCTAGAAACCAATTTTTAATATTATGCCAAATTTCCTTTATTGTTATACTTTGCTGAACCCCTTTAGATTAATGAACAGACATCATGGCCTTGATATCAAAAAATGTTCTAAAAATGGAAGGATATTCTTTCATATAAACATGATATAATTCTCATGGCAGCAAAGTTAACATTGGCACTTTAGGTATTGTCATCTGACATATGGCCTATATTTTTCCAAGTGTCCCGATATTGTATTTTAAGCAATTTTTTTCCTGACCCAAGATTCATCCAGGATTATGATTGCATGAGTATCCTGATCAAAGAGTAATAGTATAGCTTTTTCTCTTTTTTTCCCCTTCAGAAAGGAACTAACATCCTTTCACCTAGCTCTCTCCTGCAACATCCTCTAGCATACCTCTTGGCAGGTGGGGTGAATGGAGGTGGTACTGTTTTAGGGCAGCCCCAATATTGAACGGGTTGCCTGGCTGTGGGTCCTCACCTGCGTGCTTACAAGGGACTTATGAATACTCCACTACAGGCACACACAAAAGGTTAATAAAAGGTTTATTTACAAGGGAAAAGGAAATAAGGAACATGTACAACTCAGGGAGAAAATAGGGAAATAAAGTCTTTAATGCGAACTACCCGATCCGCCGACCTGGAAACCCAAAAAGCACTCTCCCAGCTGGCTGGACGCTGCGAGCTGGCGGAGAGACAAAATGGGGGAACCCCCCCAAAGCCCACGTGTCTGGCTTTATACCAATCTGGCTGCTTAACCCCACCCTCAGGTCCCAGCCACCTTCCCTTTGGTGGTGATGGGATTTGGAGTTCCCAGTGTCTTTGGCTTTGGCCTGGGGTGGGGGTGGAGTCCACAAAGCCTGTATGGAATTAGCTTTAGGACATCCTTTTCCCCCTAACAGTACCTCCCTTTGTCTGATCAAAGAGAGAATGTACCCTTTCTTCCCAGAATATCCACCAAATTTCAGAATCATTGCCAAGATGGATGTTCCTCATTCCAAAGGAGGATGTCTTAGACCATGCCTCTGACTCCTAAGCAGGAATTGGCTGATGGTTTCTTTTCTCCCTAAGAGAGCTGGGGAATGTGGCAAATTCCTCCAGTGGCTGCTCTGTGGACTAGAACTAACAGGAAAAAGAACTGCTTGACTTGAGTGAGCAGAAGAACACACTATGACAATCTTGTACTAAAGAAAGTTCTCAAGCCCCTTTGTCTTAAGGAAGCAGAACCTCCTCTTAAAAGTCTCTTCCCCACTCACCATCCACTACACATACAGATACTACACATACAGATACAGATACACACACACATACAGAGCCAGGAAATTTGGAAGAACAGTTAAGGGGGTAGAGTGAGGATGATGGAGAAAAGGTTGAATACCCTCTGTTTAATTTACTTGCCATTCTTGATCTTAGGGTTTGGGTAGGCGTGGCAGATGAGAGAATTGGAACATGAGGGCTGTTTGGTGTTTTCTTACCAGATTTTCATGAAGTATGGCCGACAGAGGTGGAAACTCAAAGGCAAAATAGAAGTGAACGGCAAACAGAGCTGGGATGGAGAGGAAACGGTGTTCCTGCCCCTGATCGTTGGATTAATTTCCATCAAGGTACAGCCTGGTCATTGCTGTCTGTTCAGTTGCCCATTAATTTCTGTCTGCTGTTGCTCCAACCCTTGGGCATCCCTCTATGCTACAAGTTCATTCCACAGACAGCTGCTCTCATCCTAGAGCACACAAAGTAAATCCAAGATGGGCTTTGGAAATACCCACTGCTATTTAATTATGATTCTGAAAGAGATGATTGAACTGACCACGAAAAGCCCAGAAACTGGTCTACCTTTTCCTTTGTTCTCTTGTAAGGCCTTACCTCCCTTCTGCCCTACTAGGTCACAGAGCTCAAAGGACTGGCATCTCACCTCCTGGTAGGCAGCGTGACTTGTGAGACCAAAGAGCTGTTCGCAGCCCGACCTCAGGTCGTGGCTGTTGACATCAATGACCTTGGCACCATCAAACTGAACCTGGAGATCACCTGGTAGTAAGTTGCCCTTTTCAATTTTATCAGGGAAAATATGTGTAACAGCTAGTGCCATTCAAAGGGTGGTGTGTGGCCCACCCATCACCGGGGAGCTTGTGACAGCAGACTCTCAGTTTTCACCCTGAAATTCCAGTGTCAGAACCTGTCTAACAAGCTCACCAGGAGATGCGCTCACCTGCCACAATTGGAGAAGTCACTCTCATCACTGCTATCCTCTTCTACTTCCTATTTTGAAATATTTTATTCTGCATCCTTTTCTACCTTTACATATATGTTAAAAAAAAAAATAGGTCCCTCACGTCAACTAATTGGAAAGAAAACTGTCCAATATGAGATATTTCATCTTCAGAATGAGTCTGTGTTGATGTATTTTCTTGCTTCCTCTTTATCTCTATACCTCATACTGTTCTGGAAAATTTTGAGCACCTTAGGACCTCCACATTCTACTTATTGAAACTGAATATTCTAGGAGGGTAAGGGATACCTTCTACCAAAGCCATGAACTTAAAAGTGATTTTCCGAAGTCACTCTGTGAGAAAGGTCGTAAGTCATATTTTTAAATTTTTTATTGAGGGGCCTCCCTGGTGGTGCAAGGGCTTAAGGTGCTGCACTATGAAGCTATCCACAGCCACTGTAACAGGAGTTCAGTCCCCAACCAGGGAGCTACCCACATGGCACAGCAGACCTCTCCTGTCTCACGCACTGCTCCCCTCAGCAGTGTGTTTCAGTCAATCTGCCTGTTCTGCTCCCCACTCTGTCTCTGATGAATGCTCTCACCCCCTGTGCCTGTGGCCTGCACCCCAACTTTTGCATGCATAAATAAATAAATCTTTAAAAAAAATAAATTTTTATTGATGCAACATTGCATTATAACATGTAAGTTTGTGCATCATTATAAATCAGCATCTGTATATAATGGATTATATTCACCCCTAAAAGTCCAGTTCCATTCATTCACCAAATAGTTAACCCCTTTTACCAATTTGCCCACCCATGATTAGTTGTTAAACCTTGGCTGCTCACAGCATTTGATATTATGCCCCTGGTATATTACCAAGTAAATATGTTGAGTAGTAGTAGCCAAGTTTCCTCTACAATAAATGAGAAAGCAGGACCGACTCTGTTGCCTTGTCTTTGAAGCAGTGTCAGCACCTTTCAGCCAGCTCACCCCCCATAATTTGGAGTCACTGATGTCTCAAACACAGGATTATCCCTCTTTTTAAAAAAAAAAAGATTTATTTATTTCTACAAGAACCGGGGTACAGGCCAGATGCGCGGGAGGGTGAGAGGATTCACCAGAGGCAGAGTGGGGAACAGAACAGGCAGACTGATGAAATACACTGCTGAGGGGAGCAGCGGGCGAGACAGGAGAGGTCTGCTGAGCCATGTGGAACCCTCACCGACCGGCTAGGATCGAACCGGTGCTGCAGAGGCTGCAGACAGCTTCACAGCATGGTGCTTATCCGCCTACGCCACCAAGGGAGGCCCAGGATTATCCCTCTTGCTAACTAAAGCAGATGGTGTGATGCTAAGTGGCATCATTGTGAACAGACTGTTCCTCTCTCTATCACACAAAAAGCTCTGTGTCAACTGAAATGAATGGGATCCAATTTTTGAGGGTTTTCTTTAGAACTGAAGAGTAATCTGTTAATCTCTTGTATTGCTAAAGTGTCTATCCCTATAAGACTCGAAGAGTTTTTTCAGACTTCAATATCTTCTACTTCAGTGTCTTATACTGTGGAGACATATGTCTATGTATCTAACACTAATGAGGAAACTGATTTTATTGAGTGTCTCAGTGTGTAGATAAATGATGCTTAACACTCATAATCTCCTGTGGGTGGTCTAGACTCAGTATTCTGTACCTCTTTCTTTTATCTTGGTCTATTTTCTGGTCAGTCAAGTTAACCTAAATCAGCCCAGTCCCCGCGATCTGAGTTTTCTCTAATATAACAAGATGCTTCCTTAACCTTGGTGGTCTGATGATTATAGGTGACTTTAACAACATGCATTCATGGGAACTTGTTGCTTTGCAGTCCATTTGATGTGGAGGATATGACCCCATCCTCAGGTACCGGGAACAAGACCGCAGCCCTCCAGAGGAGAATGTCCATGTACAGCCAGGGCACCCCAGAAACACCCACCTTCAAAGATCACTCCTTCTTTGTAAGTTCAGTGTGATGTCTGGGGTGGAGACCATGAACCTAATGCTGTACTTGCTCCCGGAATTTGCAATGCTGACCTTCCTATGTTAAGAATTCTCAATAACACCTAGTCCTAGTCTTCTTAAAGATTGCCCTAACCCAGGAGTGACCAATGGAAGCACATTCCAAGATGCCTTAGATCATTGACACGCAGGTGGCTGACGTCTGTCTTCTCTGCCCCTCCCTGCCCAGCTTACCTATCCCTTTGCCAATAACCTTTAAACTTTCCTGAATACTCTTTAAAGAAATGGCAATCCATGATGGCCTCCTAGTTTGAATCAGAAGTGCTTGCTAAAAAGCTAACAAAACATGGTACCTGCTGCTCTCCACTAACTCCCCCGTCTTGCTTTGACTTCTGAAGAGATGGTTGCACCCTTCACCAGACAAGCCAAGGCGGCTGTCTGTCTTGAGTGCCTTGCAAGACACTTTCTTTGCCAAGCTGCACCGCAGTCGCTCTTTCAGTGACCTGCCCTCCCTCAGGCTGAGACCCAAGGCCGTGCTAGAGTTTTATGTGAGTGCGGGTGGCCTGCCGGTGTGAAGTGCTTGCCTTCGGGGGCTTGTGGCATGTTTGTATTGGCATGTGTCTTGTTTTATCGCTCTGTCTTGCTCACTGGGTAATGGTTACAGCTGTCACTGTCCTGTCCCCCGGGTGGGCACTGGGTCAAGCATGCATCTTGGTTAGAGAGGCAGTTTGTCTTTCTATTCTCATGCTCCCTGTCTTGTGCTGTGACTTTTTTCTGCTGTGGTAAAGATATCCATGGTAACAAGATTTTCATTTAAAAAAAAAATGCAGTCACACCTCAGGTCAAAGAAGTTTTTAGTTCACAAGTAAAGTAGTTTCTTAGTGGTAATGGTCTTTACATATAGTGTTAGTATTCAAAAACTGGCATTTGGGGAACGCAAAAGGATTTAAAGTAATTATTCTCAAGCTATTTTTATGTAAACATATTCTTAGTCTTAGTTCATTGTAGTGTTTAAGTTTTTAACTAACTTGGTAAGAGAAAGTCTTTTGTGCATCATCAGGTATGCAGTAGGTAACCTGCATCATAGGTTATACATATTTCACAAGAGAATTCAAACACACGTGCACACACACACATGCACACCCACACACACGCACACACACACACACTCATGGAATAGTCTGCTCTTTACCGACATAGAAAAATTTCCTACAAATGTCCAGAGAGGAAATTGTGTCATAATGATAATTGTATCTTACTTATTGAATTAAAGAACCCAAGTGTATAGCACCAGGCTACACTCTAATGCAGTTTTCAAGGAGAATGGGAAGACCATATGGGGGGAAATAGATAGAAAATCGTGTTCTCAGAAAATTGTGTAGCTGATAAAAAAAGTTGTGTAGTTGTATAGACACCTGTGAATGCTATCTGTATCTTCTTGCTTATATACTGCCAGTTGAAGGGTTGTGGAAGGGAGTTGGTATAGGTATTCATATTATTTAAATAAGAACAAGATTTTAAAAAAACTTGAAGGCTGTCTATAACCTTTTAATAAACACAAAGGTCCACAGATTAACCATTCCCATCTGGCTGCAACCCAGTTTTCAGGTCTATCTCCCTCCTCCCCACTCTTCATCTTCTCCTTGAGCCTCTTGAGGCTCCTACTGCCTTTCAACTGTGCACACTCTTTCAGGATCTCCTGTCTTTGTACACATGCTATTCCTTCTAGAACATGCTTCCTAGTTCACCTGCCTAATACCTCCCCACCCTCCAGCGCCAAGTGCCAGGACCATGTCTTCCCCAGGCAGCAGTCACCCCCCTACTGGGACTTACCTCAAGGCATCCTGCCTAATCACAATCCCTTTTACTGTTATGTGCCCAGGCTTACCCTGTGAGCACACCATAAATCTCCTTGGGCCAGGCATCTCAACTTATTATAACTCAAATTTGCCACTTAAGTGGATAACAAAATGGGTTTAGGAATGTAAGAACCCAAGACAAATGGCTGGAGAGGACTTTGCAACTTGAATAAAAATCTTGATGACCCAGTTTTCTACTATATGTGCTCTGAGGGTGAGACAAAACTGGGCAGAACCATCAGAGGTTTGGCAAGATGCCTAGGGGACTTCCAAAGAGGAAGTCCAGGGCCCACCCCAACATCAAAGAGTCCCCCCTTTTGTATTTCCTGGAGGAGTAAAGTATGTAGGGGAGTAGGAGTATAAATAGAGAGGGAGAAGAAGGACATCAGTTTCTGGAAGTCCTTCCTTCACAATCCACCATGAACCCTTCAGAACTCTGAAGAGCACATTCATTAATCACTCACAGGGCCTCCCTGGTGGCGCAGCGGTTGAGCGCTGGGCTGCGAAGATGCCCATAGCCTCTGCAGTGCTGGTTCGATCCCCAGCCCCTGGCAAGGGTCCCACATGGCGCGCAGACCTCTCCTGCAGCGCCCGCTGCTCTCCTCAGCAGTGTATTTCATCAAGTCTGCCTGTTCTGTTCCCCGCTGTGGTGAATTCTCACCCTCCCACGCTTCTGACTATACCCAGTGCTTGTATAAATAAATAAATAAATCTTTAAAAAAAAATAATCACTCACAGGAAAAGCATTTAGTTTTAAATGTGAAGACATGAAACCTGCAGAGGTGATTCAAAAGACCCAGGACACATCATTTTACTCATCCTTTTGATCACCGTCCAAACAGACAACATGGAGATTTTAGGTTGAACTATGTATGTGTTGGAATCTGGTGGCCTTGAACCTAGCCCCTGGTGAGGGTACCAGGGGCCATGCTGGGTCTTTCTGACTGCTCTGGATGCCACCTTTTGAAATGCTACTCTTCAAGCACAGAGGTTCAGTTCAGCTAGCTTTAAGTTTGTTTTTCTATAATGACCTTATTCTACATAGCCCATAGCAATTCTGTGTTATTTATATGAAAATGTATTCTGGGTTCCAGCAAAGCATATATTTGATAGTCAACAACTTTTAATCTTCACTTTCCCGCCTATTATAGAAATACACAAATTTAAAACTCATTTTCCCATCTGTGGCAGTTCTCTTTGAGTTTTTCAAAACAGCTAAATCTATGAGCCTGAACTGAGTATTTCTTGCTCTAATATTTACTGTAAATCCTTGAAGAAATGAAGTGCATTAGGGACTCATTATGTCGACAAAAAATAAAATGCTATTCCTCTCTGGATTTATCCCCAACACCATTATGCAAATTCACTCATTCAATTGGTACTTAGAATTTACTTTAAAAATCAAATCTGGACTCCAATACAAACGATCTCTTTTGAAGGGGTTTATCTCAAAGAGCTAAGAAACTTTTTCCACAGAGCAATATCTGATACTTAGTCACACTATAGCCCCAGTGGAAGGAAAGATGACTCAGAAAGTGTTTTAATGCCTGCATGAGCAACTAATCTTGGTTACCTGGATATTTCTGACCTCTTGCTTCTGAGTTCTGCTTCATGAGTCACAGAGGGCACCAGGCCCAGCCCAGGGCCTTGGGAGGGACCAGACTCAGGATTTCCAGCCCTCTGGGGTTGATATCCCTGGCAGACAAATGTTCATCTTGTTAGTCTTTTCCTCCTATTTTTATAGAAGTTATGCAAATGTTTTTCTGGCCTTGAATTATTTGTGGCATACTTAATTAAACATTTTCCAAAGCCTTGGGATTTGTGGGTAGAGATTTTTTAAAAATAATTTCTGAGAACTGAAGCAGAGCAAAGCATCCCATCTTCTGAGTGGAACAGCATGAATGTTGGAAAGTCTTTTAAGATAGATGCCAAAAAAGATTGGTAATGTTATTCCTAACGGTGGCTGCCAAATATTGTGAGATCCTGGGATTTAAAGAAACAAGTACCATCCCCCGCCCACCCTCCAGCCCTTTTCTTTTGAAAAATGTCAAACCTGGGAACAATACCATGAACTTTCACCTACTTTCAGCTGTGAAAATAGCATTTTTAGGACTTGTTTTCTTTTGCCAGAACACACACACACACACACACACACACGCACACACACGCACACATACATGCTCACACACAATCAACAAAGGAAATGCTGATATTATGAAAGCTGTGAGTTTTTATTTTTATTGCCCCACATTTTGTTTCAGAAGAAATTATGCCAAATGTGTCATTTGTGTTTAAAATAATGAGAATTTTTCTGTCCACAGTCTAATCTACCGGATGACGTCTTTGAAAATGGAAAGGCAGCTGAGGAGAAAACACCCCTCTCTCTCAGCTTCAGCGACCTGCCCAACGGGGACTGTGCCCTCACCCCCAGCTCAGCCGGCTCTCCCACCAACGCCTACTCAGCAAATCCAGAAATTACCATCACCCCTGCAGAGCTGCACCTCAGTGGCCTGTCCACCCAGAAGGAAGGCCTGGATGACAGCAGCTCAGTATCTTCCAGAAACTCCTTGGGAGAAAGCCAAGAGCCAAAGCCTCACCTGCAGGAAGATGCTGAAGGACCCAGAAAACCCGAAGCCCCCCGAGCGGCTGCAGGCTCCGGGGCCGAGCACGTCTTCCTGGAGAAGGAAGTCGCTGAGGCCCTTCTGCAAGAGTCGGATGAGGCCTCTGAGCTCAAGCCTGTGGAGCTGGATGCTTTTGAAGGGAATGTCACGAAGCAGCTGGTGAAGAGGCTCACCTCGGCTGAGGTGCCGCTGGCCACGGAGAAGCTGCTCTTTGAGGGCTCTGTCAGCGGCGAGTCTGAAGGTTGTAGGTCCTTTCTAGATGGAAGCTTAGAGGATGCCTTTACTGGGCTTTTCCTGGCATTAGAACCACATAAAGAGCAGTATAAGGAGTTTCAGGATCTGAACCAAGAAGCCATGCATTTGGATGATATTCTAAAAGTAAGTACCTTTTCAGGAACATTGGAGTAGGTTTGGCGAGAGGTGTCTTAAGCCAACATTCTACTAAAGATGCATGCCATTTTTTAATCCTGCCCTATCTCAGTTTCACTGGATAATCACCATTTCAGTGGCTTTGATCTCTTAACGCCAGTAGTGCCCATGAATTTTTATTTTCCTGGCAACAGACTTAATAGAAATGGTGTAGGAGCTAACAACTCTTAAGAATATCTAAACTCCTCCAGTTCCAGAGTTTGTTCAGTCCAGTCCCAAATGTGGGGCAGTCATTTTGATCATTATAATCTTATTGAGATATTACTAGATAGCATTGCAGGAAAACAGGAAACCCCTTCTCTAATGGAAGTCAGACTTCAGAGTCCCATGTGTCACTTTACCCCATGATTTCACCTCCTGGAGAAGCCCCTTTTCTGAACTTGGCCCAAATCAGTGAGTCAGAACCTCAGATGGATCATTTGCGAGTAATCATCAGTCATATTCTGGAAAGCAGGGAGCCCTCTGTTCCACCACTGCTATCCTCCCAAGTCCTGTTCGTGATCCAGCAGCTCCTCCCGGGCATGGGATGTAGGGATGAGAGGGCTGATTTCCTTTCAGGCACTAGATCCCAATGCAAAGGGAGACAGGAAAATTTTTTATCCTTAATCCCATGCCGCCTCTGGTATCCTTTTCGGCTCTGACTTACACTGCCATACGAAAGAGCTCTTGGATCCTTTCTTCTGAAAGAGCAATTCCTTGAGAACCTGTTCTGTAAAATAGACTTGAAATTTGGTCCCCAGTGTAAGGTGAGAGTCAACCCATAGATGGCTGTTGCATTCTTTTGTAGGACAGTTTTTAAATGTGACCTTCCCCAGGCATCTACAGTTCAGAGGTTTTTTAGAACATCTTATCCTCCTCAGTCAAGCTCCCCTAGCCCTGGAAAGGGCAGGGAATAACTCATGGCTTTCAGGTTCTGGAGGCTCATGACAGATTCATTCCCCTGCAGGAAGGACAAGGTGCTTTGAATCAGCTTTCTGTAGAACAGGGCTCAAAAGCATCGGTTCAGGTCTTACACACGCAGACTGCTTGTCTGATCCTCCTGTGAGAATATCTCTTATTTCCCCCGACCCCCCACCCCAACAACTTCTTGTCTGCCCAGTTGACCAGCTTTGCTCTGTAGGCTAAAAGTCAAGTTTAAGGAGTTAAGACACAAGGGACCCACTTAAAGCAAATGCTTTATAGAAAGCCAGCGGTGGCGGCAGCTCGTGTGTCCAGGCAGCTGGAGTGCCAGTCTACAAGGAAGGCATCTCTTAGGCTTAAGCAAATCTGGTTGTCACAGATTTCTTTGCAGTGTTATTTCAATCTGCCCTTGTTCTCAAACTCTCGTGCTACTCAAATCCTTAAATGCCCTTTTCTTTGTTCTGATCAATATTTAAATATATGCAGACTGTGCAAGAGCAAAATCTGCAAAGCGAGCAAAGACCTGAGAAGTGGGTGGAATCAGGACTGACTGCTTTTCTCCCCTCTGAGATTGAAAAGGACATGAGAGTTTAGGTCTGGCACCTGTGGCTTTGTAACCAGCCAGATTTAAAGCATCAGCTGGACAAAGCTATCTCTTCCCCCTCCCTTCACATTCCTAGGATGCTAAACATCTTGAGGATGAGAAACTAAATGATGCTGCCTCTTGGATGGAGATCAATGAGGGTGAATGAAGCAACTCTGATTTAAAAGCCCGAAAGACGGTTTCCCGTGTGCTTTTGTGCCATCTTAAGTGTCAGAGACAGCCCTGCCAGGCCCTTCTGCCTTGACTCAAGAAGTCAGCGAGGAGTGCCAGCCCACTGGACGGAGGACATGTAGTGCTTCTTGCTTGCAGGCATTGTCCCTTTCAATCTACCCCAGCATCCTCTTGAATATTTGGAAGTACTTCTCTCCATCTCTGTGCCTGTAACGACCGGTATCCATTTGTCATGTTCTCATTCAGCAATAGAAAATTCTCAGACTATAGGATGGATTTGCTTACACAGTTCCAGAACCCAGGCAGGGAAGTGATGGAACTTGTTTCCTTTGGTGAAGATGGGGCTGTGGAGGAAGCAGGCTACCTCATGTCATGTCCACACCGTTTGCTTTCTCCTCAGTGCTCAAATAAAAATGATATCCTGTGAATGTAAATTCATATTTAAGGTCACTTAACTAGTGAGCAAGGAGTAGGTTTCTTTACGCAGTTTTCTTTTTCTGGGATTTGTTTTGTTAATCCTTTCAAGCAGGCGCCCTAGCTAGATAGGCACTGAAGACATTGCCACTTGAAATTAGAGTGGCTAATCGTCAGCATTGACTAAACTTGTCACCTGGTTGTATTTATTGAGGCTTGAGCACTAGGCTGATGGAGGATAGCAGTTCTGTGTCCCAATTCATTCTGCTTTGTTTTTTTAACTCTTTATTATAAAGTTTTCAAATAGAAGTAGAGAGAATCATAAAGTGCTCCCAAAATGCTCATCCTGTACCTCCCTTCATGCTTGAATCCCTGGCCAGTCTCATTTTCTGTTCTACCTGCGTACTTACCTCCGGATTATTTTGGAACAAATCCCAAATATTGTATCATTTTATTCCTCATTGTACTTATTTTTTTAAGTAATTTGAAGGTTTTTAATGTGGTTTTTAAAAACACCAATGAAAAATAAAAGCTTGGAAAAAAAATGACAGTGTCGGATCTCAAATTGGGTGCCGTGTGTTCTGTTTCTCCTTCTGAATGTGTTGATGTTCTCCTTGGTGCCTTCTGCCTTTGCAGTGCAAGCCAGCAGTAAGCCGCAGCAGGTCCTCCAGTTTAAGTCTTACAGTTGAAAGTGCTTTAGAAAGCTTTGATTTCCTGAACACCTCTGATTTTGACGAGGAGGAAGATGGTGATGAGGTTGGTAATGTTGGAGGAGGTGCTGACTCAGTGTTTTCAGACACTGAGACCGAGAAAAATAGGTAAGTCTGGAGTTAGTATCTGCTTATATTTCTCCTACACTAGTTCTTTGTTATTATATGGGACCCTGTGCATGTCTATAGGGAGACACAACTCTACACAAATGACCAATTGGTTTACAGTTCCTTTTTATTATCAAAGACATCTTATAAATTTTGTTCACAAAAATAGCACACCTTTTGTGTTCAGAGGAAAAATTGCTTTTCTTCCCCAGAACTGAAGGAGAAATTTTGTCCTGCGAGGGTATGTGTACATTCCCCTGTGTACACATAAGTCTTGCAGGGTTTGGTGTCTGCCATTTGACTCAAACATAATTAATTCCAAATTAACTAGATATACTGTGTTTCTGGAGAACTCCTAGTGGATGATCAAAATCGACCTGCTTTTCCTTGGTTTGTCTTTTATTTCTAATCTCTGTCTTTAGTATGCTGTACTTCCCCACAGCTTTATCTCCTGGATTCAGTGGGACTAGATTGTAGATTAAATGTAGCAAAGGTTCAAGTCCCGTGGTGCATGTTTCCCTTAGCAAGTAAGAAGAGGAAATTAATAATCGCCACTGGATCTGTAACCTCGTGTGTGGAGAATGTCACCTTCTCTAGGGCAGGGATGAGGCAGGCAGTGGTAAGAGAGAATGTGGGTACAATATCTTCAACCATCTCCATCAGTGTCCCCTGTGAAGCCAAACCACCATTTTTATAGCTTGCACCTGGGGTCCATTTTGTCATTTCAGGTAAAGCCAACCAGGCACAGTGAAACATGCTCACCTCAAACATTGCTGCAAAAAATGATTATGTACACACATAAACACTTTTCCAAAGGGTGAATTTCCCTTTAATCTTTACATTTGACATGTTATATAAACAGACTTTCAAGTTACTGCAAGCCATGTTCTATTCAACCTCCACAAACCTTTCTGGGGTGGTAGTAATATTTGGGGATTTCATTACCTCTGGATGACCTCTCTTTCTAATAGAAAACCAGGAAAACAAAAATGGAGAAATTGAATGTATCCCTTGAGCAAATTGGGGGCATAGCCAAGAAAATGTGTTAAATTAACATAATGTTTAAGTTATATTCCTACATTCTACACAGCACTTTTTCTAGCTTGGTTGAATTTGGAAAATGCTTTGTAAAATCAAAAATCCTTCTGTATATTTGTTAGCTTCAGCTATTACATGAGATATCAAGGTTCAGGCATCAATCTAAGATGTTTTTTTCTTCCTGCTATTAGAAGCAAAAAAAAACTCACAGCTTTTGTGTGTTTTATACAACATGGATATTAAAGATATCTAATTTGGTTAGTCTTGCTCTATGTCATCAGAGGTATCAGGGAAAATTGGGAGAGTATGTGTGCTTTTTTAAACATGTTTATTGCCAGGACATAAGGTGAGTGTTTTTTCTGTTGGACAAAAATGTGAATCAGAGTTAAAAGTAGTCAAAGCCTCTAAGCTCTGGCACAGGATCTTTTTAAATCATGGACACTGGGGAAGTAAGCTCGGAGCCAAAAGCTGCCCTGTCGCCACCCAGCTCTGAGAACCAGGACACTGTCTAACCTTTCTGCCAGCCAGTCCCTCCATGTGTGAAATGATCTGGCCACTCCCCTCCTCACTAGTACACAGATTCATGCTAAGAATAAAATTAGATACTAGATGCAACAGATTTATCTTTCCATGTCAGTGTCCATCACGATATAACTTTAGACACCTCAACAGTGGGCATAAATGAAATGTGAGAGACAGAAGCACACTGTGCTTCTAGAGATTCAAACACAGCATTTAGCTTTGTCCAGGGTAGAACATCATGTCTCCTCTTGGCAGCTTTTTCCTTTTCTTCAAGAAGCAATTGATCGAAGGCCAGGAAAAGGCCTTGACAGATTATTAATGGCATTACTCTTAGGAAGCCACAAATACACAATTTAAATCCCTAAAATTTGGCAAATTTCCCCATCAACCAGGCAGGAAAGCACCACAAGGACAAAGTGAGGGCACATTTCAAAGATGTCTTGGTGCCACGACTTCACAAATGGTTCATTGTATGTGAGAGGCAGAGAACTCTGGAAGCCATTTGTTTGCATGATCTTTTAACATGAAGCAAATTGGCAACCAGGCTGAATGAAAGTAGTTTTTGAAAGGTCCTTTGATTTTTCAAGGTAGGCCATTGAGAGACAGTTTGCAGTGAATACTGTTGGAGGCTTTGCATGAGCCATGTTGAGTTGACTTGTGGTTTCCACCCGGAAAGAAATAGCTAATGTCTTGCTCCTCTTCCTGCTTCACCAGTTACAGGTCGGTCCACCCGGAAGCCAGGGGCCACCTCAGTGAAGCTCTGACGGAGGACACAGGTGTGGGTACAAGTGTGGCAGGAAGCCCCCTCCCACTGACCTCAGGAAATGAGAGTCTGGATATCACTATCGTTAGGCACCTGCAGTACTGCACCCAGCTTGTTCAGGTAGGAAGGGGGGTTGCATTTGTGTCTTAGAATCCAGCTTGTTTATGCACTGAGAATGTGGGCTCTTTTTTTTAAACCTTTATTTATGCATACAAGAACTGGGGTACAGACCAGAGGTGCGGGGTGAGAAGAGTCACCAGAGACAGAGTGGGAAACAGAACAGCCAGACCGACTGAAATACACTGCTAAGGGGAGCAGCCAGTGAGCCAGGAGAGGTCTCCTGTGCCGTGTGGGTAGCTCCCTGGCCAGGGATCGAACTCGTGCTACAGTGGCTGCGGATAGCTTCACAGGGCTGTGCTTAACCCCTTGTGCCACCAGGGAGACCCGGCTTCCTTTTCGTAGTCTTGTCAGGGACATGAGAATTCAGGAAGTAAGAACAGTGCAACAGTGGGGCAAGTATTTTGAAATTCTTTTGTTGCACAAAGGATTTCAGCTACCTCAAACAAAGCATTTTCCCCCAAGAAGCTATGTAAATGCTTCTTCCTTTTCCAGTTGCTTGTCTTCTCCCAATGTTCTCTTCCCAGCTTCTGGTTAAGTAGGGAGTAAAAAAAGGAATGTGAAAGCAAATGTATAATGGGGGGCCTCCCTGGTGGCGCAAGGGGTTAAGCACATCACTGTGAAGCTATCCCAGCCTCTGCAGCACGATTTTGATGCCCAGCGAGAGAGCTGACCCACACGGCGCAGCAGCCCTCTCCTGGCTCACCCACTGCTCCCCTCAGCAGTATATTTCCGCGGATCTGCCTGTTCTGCTCCCCACTCTGTCTCTGGTGAATCCCCTCACCCCCACCACCTCTGGCCTGAACCCCAGTTCTTATTTGCATAAATCTTTTTAAAAAATGTTCAGGGGCCTCCCCGGTGGCACAGCAGATAGAGTGCCACCCTCTGAAGCTGTCTGCAGCCTCTGCAGAGTGGGTTCAATCCCAGCCAGTGAGAATCCCTCATGGCATGGCAGACCTCTCCTGCCTCACCCGCTGCTCCCCTCAGCAGTGTATTTCAGTCAGTCTGCCTGTTCTGCTCCCTGCTCTGCCTCTGGTGAATCCTCTCACCCTCCCGCGTCTCTGGCCTGTACCCCAGCTCTTATATAAAAATAAATAAATCTTTAAAAAAAAAAAAACATTCAGGGGTATGGATCAGGCAAGAGGGCTGCAAGGGCAGGAATTACCTTGCTAAGGCTTGGGACCAGCTGGAGGACAAGAGGCAGGGTGAGGAGGAAGGGATGGTAGGAGGCCAGGAGAGGGACCTCATTGGCACAATTCTTATGATGAGAACTAGAAGAATGTGCTCCATGGATAAGGAACACCCAAAGTAACCTCAGACCCCTTATGTGCTAGGGGAAATTGGCTGGTAATTATGACTCTTGTCCCCTGGTTGACCAACACCCCAGCTGACCTCTTCTGTTAAGTTTGGATTTACAGTTCATGATATTGTCTACTAGTGTCGCAGAAGGCGCAATATATTTCTGACCAAAATGAGCAAGAATTGTTGTTTAGATATGCTTTCTTCACCAACTCTTCGGATGAGGTGTTTTTCATAGTTCTTTGGTCTTACCGAGCCCCATACTGTGCTGGGCAAATTGTTTTTTTGTGTTTTTTGAGGTAAAACTCTTAATTTTATGAGATATGAGAGAATTCTCTTTCACAAAGAAGTGAATCTTGTCCCTAAGGACTGATTGATATACAATAGCCAGCCCCATGCTTATCTCTGACATAAGGCCGTGGTCGTAACAACTCAATTGGAGACAAAAATCAGCACTAGAAAAACCAAAAACCTAAAGATGTAGAATGAAGAAATAAGGATTACCAACTTCATTATAATTCCCATCCTTGCCTAGATCAAGTGTATTCATTCATTTGGCCTACAAATAGGTACTCCATATGTCTGAATTATGTTTAAAAGCAAATCGCTCATTTCTAATATACTTACATGAAATGTGTTAGTACATTATTGTTGCCCTCAACTTTTGAATTGGAAAATTCTATTTGTTTTGGAATCCAAATGATTTAGATAGTATAGGCGGGTACTTCAGGTCTGCAATCTGTATCCACACTTAGTGAGTGACTGTGACAGGTCTCTGAGAGACACAGAAAGGACTAGAACCTTTCAGTAGCAACTGACTTCTGTCCTTTTTTCTCTCAGGCCCTTGATTGTGATTGTTACCTGCACACAAGTGGAATCACTTAGTGTCTAGAGACTTTGGGAAGGTTACTTCTCTGTGCCTCAGTTTTCTCATCATTATAGTAGTAGCTCCATAGTACCCACCTCACATGTACTAATGCCTGTTGGGGCACTGGATCAGTGCCTGATACTTAATAAGCTCTTGTTATTTATGATGAAAGACCTTTAATTATATCTATCACTGTCACATAGCATGCTCTTAAGTTTCAGCTTGAAAAATAAATCCATGGTGTGAAAAATTACTACACTTGTAAACTAAATCTTTTTTCTATTTACACACTGATATTCAGACTAAATATACCCTTCAAGTTACAGAGGATTCAGAGATTTACAATATAATAGTTCTTCAACTAATATCATCTTGCTCATTGTGTGTTGTTATAACATTGATGAAAAGAAAAATCCCAGGGCCTCCCTGGTGGTGCAAGGGGTTAAGCACCTCACTATGAAGCAATCTGCAGCCTCTGCAGCACAAGTTTGATCCCCAGTCGGCCAAGGAGCAACCCACATGGTGCAGCAGACTCTCCTGACTCGCCCGCTGCTCCCCTCAGCAGTGTACTTCAGTCAATCTGCCTGTTCTGTTCCCCACTCTGTCTTTGGTGGATCCTCTCACACACACACCCCCGCATCTCTGGCCTGTACCCCAGCTCTTGTGTGCATAAATAAAGAAATCTTTAAAAAAAAAAAAGAAAGAAAAATCACAGACTATGCCAAAGAAAACAATGTTATTCAAGGACTTGGATTCATTAGATGTTTCATTGAAAGTCATAGTTTTCCAGAATCTTCCCAGTGAGAATTTCCTGTGTATGAAAGAGAAGACAGCTGAGTAGTAACCTTATAGCTCTCTGACTGAGAACATTCCAGATATTCTATAGGCATGAAAAGGTTTCAACCAAAAAAATTAAATGTCTGACTTCATCAGACATTATAACCAGAAAGGAATGAGGAAGGTTATCTAACTAGAACAAAATCATTGTAGGAATTTATTTAGCATCCCCACTACATTCAGGAAGGATGAGGTTGGAGAGGGAATCTCTGTTGACAACACTGTAATTGAAACCATGAACTTGTTTGTTTTATCAGCAAATTGTTTTCTCAAGCAAAACCCCATTTGTGGCAAAAAATCTCTTAGAGAAGCTTTCTAGGCAAATCCAAGTGATGGAGAAACTCTCAGCTATCAGTGATGAGAACATCGGAAACATCAGTTCTGTCATCGAAGGTAAGCACCTACAAATGACACCCCCATTTCTCTTAATATTTCTCACCATTAGCCCCTTCCTCCATGCACTCTATTCATTTGCTTTGTCAGTATAGAAGAAAAGCATTCCTGGGTCACAGAACAGGGCGGAGTCTCCACGCTGGTGTGGTTCTCATTAACACCACACTTCAGTCTTTGGAATCCAACAAGACACATGACTTTTTCTATAGGGGTCTCTCTTCTGGAAGCCAGGCACTATGGTACAAATAGAACCAGCATCCACCTCAAAGAAAGAGTCTCAAGATTTTCTGCTGGTGTGGTTCCATTTGGAGACAGGTGATTAGGGCTGTTCTTGTGCTATGGAACTGCCTAGGACGGCTCCATAACAGCTGACTGTCAAATGCTCCCAAGTCCTGCAGGGAAAAGGCCTTTGGGAATCTCTTTGGTGTAGGTGGAGAGCTTGACATGGGGAAAGTGGCTTTGAATGTAGAAAGAGAATGTATGTCATCTGTCACTTCCAACAGTCATGGGGATAATGGGTGCCTGGATCTTCTAGGTTGTCCCTGATGAAGCCTAAAACTCCCTGTGGGTTCTCCCTGTACATTTCTGCCCCCTGCCACCTCCTCCCAGAAGCTGGTGACTTCGGCAGGTGTCAGAGAGTCACAAAAAGGGGTAGGACTTTCAGGCTAAAAGTGACCATGTGTCCTGTCCTCCTCCTGGCCCTCTTCATGATCACAAACACACACATGGTGAAATGTTGAGTGCGAGCTCGCTCCCACAGGGCTCCATGATTTCCATCTGACAGTCAGCCAGGCAGGGTCCAAAAAACTACTCTAGCCACCTACTCTTCATGCTCCATTCCCTTCAGAAAGATCTCCTGAAGTTAGAGTCTCTGATCCTGGATGTTTGGGACTCTAAAATCCCAGGAGATGAGCAGATTGCAGCATCTCCCAAGAGTAAACTTCTGTGTTTCCTATCACTGAAAGCAAACAGCTTTGCTTTTTGCAGCGCCTTCTTTGCTCCCCAGGCTGGGTGGGTTTCTCCTCATAACTTCTTTTGCTCTTCAGACCATCTGCCAACCGCGGAGGAAACTTGTATTTATAATTAAAAAGCACAAACTTAAAAAAAAAAAAAAGCAGACCCCATCCCCAGCCTCTCCCATCCCCAGCCCTCCCCAGGGACATCTGTGCATCTGCTTCACCCGAAACCTGATCATGGAGTGGGGGATTGCTCTTCTTTTCCAGCCATACCAGAATTTCACAAAAAGCTGTCTTTGCTGGCATTCTGGACCAAGTGCTGCAGCCCCATCGGTGTCTACCACAGTTCGGCTGACAGAATGATCAAGCAGCTCGAAGCCAGCTTTGCCAGAGCCGTCAACAGAGAGTATCCAGGACTCGCAGACCCAGGTAGTTGAGGGCAGCAGGGAAGACAGGACTTCTGTCCTTCTGTGTGAGAGTAAGCGCGGATGGGGTCTCCCCACACTGTCATGCCTTCCCTTCCAGCTAAGCCTGAATCAGGGGGCTTGCTCTGTAGAGAAAAAACATAGTTCAATTAAAGCCAAGAAGACCGTCAAACCTGTTTTAATTCAGAATATCAGCAGTAACACTGCATTTGTGTGTTGTTATTTAGAAGTGTCTTCTTTTCTCATTAAAATGTCACCAATAAATGGAATATTACTCAGCAATCAAAAAAGATTTTCTCATGCAATTTGCAGCAACGCGGATGGAGCTGGAAGGGATCATGCTCAGCAAAATAAGCCAGAAAGAAAAAGAAAAATACCGGATGGTCTCACTCATAGCAGGAATTTAGAAAACCTAAATAAGGGACCAGGAAAAAGACTAATTACATAAAGAAAAATCAAAATCAACAAGCAACTATAAACGAGACACACTACAGACAGGAGAAAGGGAGTAGAATCAAAACAAGAGGGGTGGGAATTGTATGGGGAATATAACCAAAATGAAAATGCATACATTGTACAAAGATGAAAAAAGATGTAAGAATTATATAAAATAAAATATTAAAAAAAAATGTCACCAATAGGTTTATCTCTGGTTCTTTACATTTAGAAGCCCTGGGAAGTGCCCCCTGCTTAATGGTCATTACTCAATCAGTCCCCTGTGGCAGGTGCAAGGGTGAGCAGGCTGCCTCTTCACCAGATCAAACAGCTGTGGAAATGATCCATGTCTGCATTTGTGGAGCAAAATATCTATGAGTCAGACCCCTCCCCCCCAGGCACTAGGGATAGAGCAGCGAACAGGAGAAGCAAAATGCCTGCCTTTAGCATGTTTTGATTCTGTGGAAGAAGATAGTCCCTAAGTTAATTTTTTAAAATGTCACCAATATGGGAGTATTCAATGGTATAAACACTTCGGAAAAACTGGTAGCGACCATTGAAACTAAATATAAACCCATCCTCTGATCCAACAGTTCCACTCCTATTGAGATATATGTCCAAAAATAAAGGACCTGTATAAGGTTTGCAGCAACCAAAAATTGGAAATAACTCAGATAGACGCCCATCAACAAGAAAATAAATTATCATCTCTTCATACAATAAGTTATTAACAATTTTTCGAAAGAACATTACTGATAAAGCAACAATTTGGATGAATCTCACCCATACTTTGTTGAGTAAAAAGAAATGGATATAAAACGGACATGTTGTGTAATTCCTTTTATATGAACTTCAAGAATAGGCAAAGCTAATTGATGTGTATAGAAGTCAGATTGTTAATATCTCTGGTGGTAACAGATGAGAAGCTTTAGACTGAGAAACCATAAGAAAACATTTTGGGGTGCTAGCAGGGTCTGGATCTGGATCCAGGTGGTCTTGCACAGGTGTATATAAAGATCACAAATCACCCAGTGTGCCCTGAAGATTAGTTCACTCCATGTAAAAAAAATAAATAAATAAAGGCATGGTTGGATGGATGAATGAATGAATGAATGAATCTATCTGTAGTCATGTTTCTTAAAAGCGACTTTATATCTTCTCCTCCCACACAGTGTTTCGGACCCTGGTGTCCCAAATTCTGGACCGGGCTGAGCCTCTGCTTTCCTCCAGCCTTTCCTCAGAAGTCATCACTGTTTTCCAGTATTACAATTACTTTACCAGTCACGGTGTGAGCGACCTGGAGAGCTACTTGAATCAGCTGGCCAAGCAAGGTGGGGTGTGTTTTTCTGACACTTTGTGTCATCACTGGTCTTTTGCATCAGTTTTTGTGATGGTGACCTGGACTCACACACCAACAGCTTTGCTAAGATTTGCCTTGTAAATTCCTTCTGGACTTTTATTTATTTTTTAAGATTTATTTATTTATGTATACAAGAACCGGGGTACAGGCCAGAGTTGGGGTGGGCAAGAGGATTCACCAGAGACAGAGTGGGGAACAGAATAGGCAGATTGACTGAAATACACTGCTGAGGGGAGCAGTGGGTGAGCCAGGAGAGGTCTGCTGCACCATGTGGGTATCTCCCTGGCCGGGGATTGAACTTGTGCTTCTGTGGCTGCAGATAACTTCATAGGTAGCGTCTTAACCGCTTGCGCCGCTAGGGAGGCCCCCTTCTGGACTTTCAATGTTAGTAAACCCTTCTTAGCAATGAACCAGGGATTCACTCAACATCCTATTCTTTCAATGGTATACTGGTCATCCAGTGTATACCACTGACTGGTATCTGGGAAATAATTAAAGACTTCTGTATCGTTTGTTTTCTCCATTGATGTATTTGTCCTCTGTAGGATCAAACCTATAGGCAAAGGTATTTCATGTTGCCCCTTTTGGTGGCATTTTCATAGTAATAAGCAGAAAAGGGTTTTAAAAGAAGGCAAGTGCAGTGACATATTGGGCAGAGAAAGAAGAGAAAAATCAAAAACTAAATCTAAGGCTATATATTTAGGGAATGGGCCTGTGTGTAGACATGCGGCCATGAAATTCATTATTGCCTCTTCATGTTTTCCTAATTTCTTCAATTATAAGAAATAAAATGAGGGCCTCCCTGGTGGCACAAGGGGTTGAGCACAGCACTGTGAAGCTATCCTATCGGCAGCCTCTGCAGGACCAGTTCGAGTTCTATCCCCAGCTGGCCAGGGAGCTACCCACATGGTGCGGCAGGACTCTCCTGTCTCACCTGCTGCTCCCCTCAGCAGTGTATTTCAGTCAGTCTGCTTGTTCTGTTCCCTGCTCTGTCTCTAGTGAATCCTCTCACCCCCTGCACTTCTGGTCTGTACCCCAGTTCTTGTATGCATAAATAAATAAATCTTTAAAAAAAAAAAAAGAAATAAAATGAGCATCTGCCCTGAGTGAAAACCTCTTTAGGAATGGAGCCTAGCAGTAAAAGGTTGGGTTCTGACTTTCAAGTTTGTGTTCTTTAACTCCACCAAGGCCTGACAATGCAGGTGAGGAGGGTACAAATAAGGTGTGTGCTTTGGGAGCAGACAATTTGGCTCAATACCAGGTAGTGCCAGCATGTCTGGCCCAGCCCAGGGTTAGTCCTTCTCTTCCCTCTAGAACATTAAATCCTGTGAAAACATGACTGGCATGGCAGTTGACATCACAATGAGAGAAGGAAATTCTTCTTCCAGCCAGCACCACACCATCCGGGAGTGCCCTCACCAATAGTCAAAGCTCAAATAGCGTGCACCCGAGAGAGAATGTCTGGGAGACATTGTATGAGGACCATAGGTCTCATTATAGTCTTCATTTCTTGAGTCTAAATTTTTCCCAGTCTAAATCAGTTTTCTGAGTCAATTTCTGTATTGTTCAATTCATAACAGTGGAGATTGAGGTCTCTAAATCTCTCAGTACAGTCTGGAGGAGGCAGTTCATTGATCAGTAGGAATGGAGGATGACAATGGAAAAAAAACCCTAATCTTTTTATGTGTTTCTTCTTTTTAATAAAAGGAAAAGTCTTTCATTATTTAAGGAAAATTAGAACACAGAGAGAAGTATAAAGGAAGAAATTGAAATCATCCATTCTCCTACTTCAGATGTTCTTATCTTTTTCAGTTCAGTGCGCAGAGCTTTAAATTCCAAGACCATGATTACTCATGACAGAATATTATACAGCCTGTTGTTTTTTTTTTTAATTGGACTTTATCTCCTATGCTGTTAATTCTTTGAAACATTTTTATTAGTTTTATAATATCCTTGCTCTTGGGTGTTTGCTAATGTATTTGATTACTATTGAACATTTAAATTGTTTCTGTTTATTTAGCTGTTATACATACTATCTCAAAACTTTTCAGTAGGGTGCAGTGTATAAAGCAGTGAAATTATCAGAGCATTCACAGCAGGAAAAGAGGAAATAAGGCAAGACGTCTCAGTCATTCACAAACGTGTCCATTAGGGAAAGGACACTGTCCTGTTCATGGGACATGAATTTTAGCTTATATTTTCCATCTATCCTGATCAGACACACTTCCATCATAATGCCTTTGGGACTAGTACACGCCTGTGCTAAATATCTAGTTAGGGATCAGAGTGTATTCCTCAGTCCTGGAACATGGCCAGTTTGTCTAAATGGGACTCAAAATTTTCTATTTTTTAAAATCATATTGTCTGTCTGCCCCAACCAACCAACTAGATTCCTCCATCAGAAAGAAAGGAGTTGAAGTGACTCTCAGATAGGATTTTGCCTGACAGGAAGAACACAAAGACAGGGAGACAATGGAGTTTGCTCTATCAAGAGGATTGTTAAAAGTGTGTACTTGTGTTTTATTCACTATTTTTTGCATTTGGCTGCTTCCTTCATTCCTGAGTTATTTTAGCAATAGTCTAAGGTGGACACTTGCTGTGAGTGATTTGCCACTTGCTTTAACATAGTTTCTTGAATACTCTGTCCCTTTTCTCAGTAGTTGAAGATTCAACCTTGATCATATTCAAAATTTTTATAGCCACTAGGGTCTATTCTTACATAGATAATTTCATATGTACTGGCGCCTTCGAGGTTATTTATATTTTCAGTGAGCATGTTACTTTGCTGTTAGAAAGTGAAATCTGTCTTCTCCTCTCTCTAGTTTCCATGATAGAGACTCTGCAATCACTAAGAGAGGAAAAACTGTTACAGGCCATGAGTGACCTCACCCCCAGCAGCCTCCCTGCCCAGCAGGAAGTTCTCAGGACCCTGGCTCTGCTGTTAACTGGAGAGGACAGTGATGTGAGTGAGGCCGTGACACTTTACTTGACAGCAGCCTCCAGAAACCAACATTTCAGGGAAAAGGTAGGGTATGCAGTTGTGGCTGCTGAGCTAGAAGCTTATTTAAATTTCCTCTAATTCATATTAATCTTTGCCATCTATTGTAAAAATAGTTTTGTCCCACTTAATAATAATAGCTACTTTTTCAAACAATGAAAAATAGAGAAATATACTATCCATAGGTGTTCGGTAAGTCCAACCTCCAAAGAAACCCTTTAATAACTTTCTGTATATTCCTTGTTTTTTTTTCTGTGTCTCTGCTAGCCTGGATAATTGTTTTTCCTTAAATGAGAGTCTGCTGTTCTGTTTTGTAACAGGGTTTTTAAATGTAATAGATGATGGTTTCCATTCCTTGTGGAGCATACCCCTAGAACTGTTTCCAGTTTGAAGGTCTCAGCAGCCACCGTTTCTTAGGTAGCTGCTCTAAGTCCAGTGGGAAGTGTGTTCTGTGAGGTTGTACATATCTCTGCAGAGCACACGAGAGTGCCGGTGCTTCCCAAGTCAGGGACCAGTCCCCAGGTCTCACTCAAACCAGTGGGGGTTTGGTCCTGGTACTCAAAGGGTCTGTGGCCTAGAAGCCCCCTCAGAAGCTTCCCTTACCAGGGGCAGATGGCCAGGTCTACATCCAGTGCTTCAGCCCTGATGAATCACCATTGTAATGCAAACATGTCCCAGGGAAGAATGATTTGTTACCATTGTTATGCAAACATGCCCAAGGGAAAAATAATTTGAAACCTGGACTATATGCTTTTAGAAAGAATTTTAGAGAAAGTCTTATTTGATGGTTAAACCTTGAAAGCTCTTCAGAGAGTCCATGGGGTAAATGGACAGAGGGAGATAGGAAAGAGTTGTGTGCTAATTTCAGGTTCATCTATGTGGTCATTTTAACAAAGGCTGGCCCCTGTGGTTAAATACTATGACTAGGTGAAGTGGCACCTTTATTATTACTGTAAGTCGTAATCACCAAAAAGTGTAAACAATCTAAGTGTCCATGATCTGATGTGTATGTAAAATGTGGTCTATCCCTACGATGGAATATTATTCAGCCATTAAAAAGGAATGAAGTTCTGATACATGCTACAACATGGGTGAAATTTGGAAACAGTATGTTAAGCATAGAACAAGACATGAAAGGTTAATTATCATATGATTCTGTCTATATGAAATGCCAGAATAGGCAAATTCAGAGAGACATACTGGAGGGAGGAAGCAATGGGAATGACTGCTGGTGGTGCAGGAGTTCTTTTGAGGGTAATAAAAATGTTCTAGAATTAGATAGCCATGATGGCTTGGGAGTGTACTAAACACCATTGAATTATCCCCTTTAAAGGGTGAACATTATGTTATGTAAATTACATCTCCAATTTAGAAAATGGAATTCTTCTACAGAAACTGTAGAGAAAGCAGGATGTGTTAACCGTGATTGGGGGTGACCCTCACTGCCTTGTGTGGACCTCATGAGCAATCACCTCAAATGGTTTCAAGTTATTTCATCACACTGCAGTGTCATCAGATTCAGTGTATGCTCATGAAGTACAGAATACCATTCTAGGTGACCTTTGTTTAGTTTCTCTAGAGTCCACAGATAAGTGACATCATCCAGTATTTGTCTTTCTCCCTCTGACTTATTTCGCTTAGCTTAGCATAATCCTCTTCAGCTTCTTGTGAAATGGAATACTACTCAGCCATCAAAAAGAAACTCTTGCCATTTGCAGCAACAAGCAACAGAGAAAGTTTAAAGGGCCAGGCAGGGAAGTGGTCTGAGCTGGGGTCATTTGTTCAGGAACTTTGGGGTGTGTTCTCTAATTCGTCTGTCTTTTTATGAGCAGATACAAGAGTCTGCAGACAGAAGGCTGCAGAGTGGGGTCTTGTGTAACAATCAGCAGACAGTCTCCTGTTTCTCTCCTTGTCACAGATTAGGTGAAAACAGGGAGTTGCTGAGTGGGGCTGCACACAGTCACTCACCCAGAATTCACAACATGGCAGTTAGAGATGAGGTGGGGTCTGTTTCATGCAAAGTAGCTTTCATAGAATCAATATATTAACCAGAGAGATAACTCTTAATAACCATGAATTTTAATGGTTTGGTTTTCGCCATAAGGTAGTGCAAAATGTCTTGTTTGATGCTGTTGTAGTTTATCTCAGAGGAAAAATGATACGTGTATCATATATGTATACATGTATAGACACACACCCACAACCAACAAATCCAGATCTTGTTAAGATGTCCCGCCTTCTTTTTCAGGCCTTACTATATTACTGTGAAGCATTAACAAAGACAAACCTCCAGCTGCAGAAGGCAGCCTGCCTGGCCTTGAAAAGCCTGGAGGTAAGTTCAGCCTCAGACACCACCACCTCCCCCATCCTCACCCCAAGACAGTGCAGCTTTGAGGGAGACTAAGCCAAATGCATAGAGCCATTGTCTTTCCCTATATACTTGGAAGTAACTATTTTAACAGCACCTCTTATGTCATTTTCACCATATATTAGTTTGGGGGTTATTTTGGAGGGGAAGGCATAACATTTATTTGACACTAGTGGTTAGTTTTCATCCACATTGACTGTAGATTTTGCAAGTGGTGACAGGTATATAGGTAACCAGCTTGTACACCTTGCTTAGAGAATCTTCATCCTTATTACATGTTCTGGATAACTGCACGGCATGCCTCGTGAAGCATACTCCATGGATTCAATTGTGAATGTTGGTGGTGTGTTCTCTGCTCACTGTCTCATTGATGGCACAATGGCCCTTCTTCTCCCCACCCTTCTTTGTGGGGGCCCTTCTGTTGGGCCCAGATGAGAAAGGAAAGCTTTGCTGTGTATAAGTTTGTGAGCCCTTTTTTTTAAAAAAATTTATTTATGCATGCAAGAACTGGGGTGCAGGCCAGAGGTGTGGGGGTGAGAGGATTCACCAGAGACAGAGTGGGGAGCAGAACAGGCAGATTGACTGAAATACACTGCTGAGGGGAGCAGCAGGCGAGACAGGAGAGGTCTGCTGTGCCATGTGGGCAGCTCCCTGGCCGGCCAGGGGGTCAAACTCGTGTACTTGTGCTGCAGAAGCCATGGACAGCTTCACAGTGCCACCAGGGAGGCCCCCTTTTTATCTGTGAACAGTAATTACATGTGACTTTGTTTTATTAATGTCAATAAGTTACAGTTGCCCATAGAAATCATTTAGCTTCTGGGTCAGCATTAGAAAAGTACATCTTATCCCAAAAGAGATATCAATTTTTATTATTTGCGAAAAAAAAAAGCAGCCAAAAAAAATTTTGAATTTCCCTGTGCCAACAAACTCCATGATCCTTCCGCAGCCACTGCTTTCATTAAGCAGCTCAGCCATCTTCATTGTGGCAGAGGGAGGAGTTAGTGAGACAGCCAAATGTCAATGAAAGAAATAAAGGGCTGGAAATTGCCAGCATTCAAGAGTCGACTCTTCCATAGTCAAAATTTAATGTTTGACACCTACCTTAACTCAAAAAGTAAGATTATTCAGGCTTGGGCACACTTCAGAATTTGCTAAAATCTTGCATGGACCGATGGGAGGAAGGGCAGGAGCCCATAGCCTTATGGGACAGGAAGGGATTAACACCTCCAAAGAAAAATTTAGTCACCTGTGAAGGACAGGTGCATGTAAGAGCTGGGGCCAGAGATATGGGTGGTGAGAGGATTCACCAGAGACAGAGTGGGAGCAGAACAGGCAGACTGACAAATACACTGCTGAGGGGAGCAGCGGGCGAGCCAGGAGAGGTCTGCTGTGCCATATGGGTAGCTCCCTGGCTGGCCGGGGATCAAACTCGTGCTGCAGAGGCTGCGAATTGCTTCATAGTGCAGTGCTTAACCCCTGCACCACCAGGGAGGCCCAAGGAAAAGAGTTCTGGGAAATTTTGTCTTCTTGTTACTTGGCCAAAAAAGCCCACAGTGATGGCTGTTTATTTGAGTGCTGTCCTACCATATCAGTGAGATGACTTCTTACCAGCTTCTCTGCTTCTTTAGAATCTGAACTCCCTTCAGTCATTGTCTCCACTGCAGTTAGCGTTCATAGTAAATACAAATTCTGCTTAAAATCCTTGTGTGGCTTTCCATGAGCTTAGAATGAATTATGTAACCTTTCTCATGGCTTGTTAGGCCTTCCTTGTTATGGCCATCCTACAGGCTATTCCCCTTGCCTAGAATTTTTTCCTTCCCCATACCCCCAGCTATGTGCATCAACTTGGCTAACTCCCATAAGATATCGCTTCCTCCATGCAGATTTCTCTGATCAAATCCGGACTGCGTTTCCCAGTGGTGCTCTGTCCAAGCACCCTCACTCAGCTTCTTGTTCATGATAATAATTACTTAGTTAAGAGTCTTTTCACAGGACTCTAAACTCTTGAGGGCCAGGACCATGTCCGGTTTGTCGCTGGTTCTTGTATGCCTGGACTACATGGTTAAGAATGCTTAATAAATGTCTCCTCCTCCATCTTAGTATGTAAGCTAAATATTAGGAGCCATTAAATGAGAGCTAATTGGGAAGCAGTGGGATACACAGAAAGGAACTAGGAGAAACAGATTTGCTCTGGAAAAGTAGGCCAGTCCCTCCACTTCTCTATGAAACGAGAATTCAGCAGGTCATTAGAGCTTCCCCTAGTACCAACACTGGGTCCATTCCCAGGAAATTCTAGAATCTGGAGTGGTGTGAAGGAATCTGTGCTTTCATTTATTGATTGATTTTTTTTTCAGTGATTTTAATAACTTCACTAAGGGATGAACTCATGGCCTCAAATCAGTTTTAGAATGTGTTCACCCCCTAAAAATATCCTTCATCCCTATTTAAAATTGCTCTCTATTCTTAGCCCAGCCTCAGAAAACAACTAATTTCATTTCTTTCTTGATAAACTTGTCTTTTCTGTAAATTTTACTTAAAATAGTGTTTATACCACACAGATTCTTGTGTCTGACTTGTTGCCCTCCACAGGATGTTTTCAAGGATCTGTGAGGTACTGTGCCTCACTAGCTTGTTCTCAGCTATGTAGTATTCTACTATATGGATATCACCTGTTTTGTCCATTTACCAAGAAGTGGAGATTTAGATTGTTTCCATTATTTGACTACTACAAATAACGTTCCTAGGAATATTGGTGCTGTAGAATTTGTATAGATCTATGTTGGGGCACTGGAGGTGGCCAAGGTATGAAAGTATACATTTGTAGAGTTTTGACTCTCTAATCCACGGAGCAGATACGAAGATGTAACCCTACTTTACTTCAATATACATAATATGGGAGGGGTACCGACACTATACAAAGATCTGAAAAAAATACACATCTGATAAAAATTTCCTATGCCTCAATAAGATAAACAGCACAATCAAAAAATGGACAAAATACATGATTTAAGATATCACTGATAAAGATTCACGAATGGTTAATAAGGAGACATGAAAAGATAACATCATCGGTGACTAGGGCAACACAATTTTAAGTAAAAAATCATTTTTCAATTCCTAAAATGACTGATAAGACAGGATAATTGTTGAGGCTATAGAAAAATGGGAACACATATACCGCTGCTGGGAAAGTAAAATGATCCAGTCATTTTGCAAAATATTCGGTTTCTCGAAGATTCAAATGCAAAGCTGCCATGCCACCCAGATATTCCTATTTTAGCTATATAGCTCAGAGGAAGGAATCTGTGCTTTTGTAAGAGCGTCCAGGGCCTTGATGCTGCTGACAAGATGGTCCTTTAAGTGTGAAAGCCTCAGGTCGCAAACATTGGAGGAAGGCTGCCTGTCACAAGGTCACTTACCCTTTCCAAGTCAGCTGGGATAGAAAGTGGTCATTATAAATGATCGATACCCAGCCCCATCTGGAGTCACTGTGAAGACGCATGTCTGGCTTAGAGCTCCCCAGGGGGTCAACTGAGTCCCTGGTGAGGTTGCACCACAGCCCAGCTGCATATTCTACCCAATTCTGCTTTCTTTATTTCCCCTCTAGTGTAGATCCCAAGAGCACCACTAATAAATTTCCTATATTTGCAAATAATAATAAAAGAGGTGCCTATGTGCTCCTGACACTCAGCTAGATTTGGGGGCCCCTGGGTAAGATGGCTTCTAAAGCCCCTACCAGCTATGAGATTCTAAGTCTCATGTGCTTCCAGAAATAAATGTCAAGATGCAATTTGCATATTTTCTCTCCTTAGGCTACTGAAAGCATTAAGATGCTGGTGACGTTGTGTCAGTCCGATACTGAAGAAATCAGAAATGTGGCCTCAGAAACTCTGCTGTCTCTTGGTGAGTTGTTGTTTTCTGCATGATTGCTTACCTATGATGCTCTGGAAGGGAATGGTAAGGAAGAGATTCATGTGCACTGTCTTAGCAATTTCCTCCTATAGGCTGTCTGCTCACACTTAGGGGAATACCACAAGAAGTATGAGGAACTGGTCAGTTTCCACATCACCCCAACTCCTTGTTCTAATTATCTGGGTGTTGAGGGTGAGGGTTACTTTCTGGAGGCTTTCTAAATGTGTTCATCAGTCTGAGCACTATTTGGAATCAAGAACATAGATGTAAACCATAAAGCAGAGGCAAGAGTCAGGAGTCAAGGTGGGATTGCCAGGTAGGAGGCGGCCCTACCTGAAGGACAAGGATTGGCTGAGCTTCCCACACACATTCCCCAGAAAATCATCCAGCTACTATCACCTCACCTTGACTCTCAGGCTAACTGGACCACAGCATTTACTTTATCCTGTAATATCCAAATTATCTTCTCCTTCACTTTACTTTATAAAGGTTCATGCCCAGCAAGTTTCATACTTTTATTTTAGGGTGGATTTGGGAGACTATAGAGAGGCTTTTTAAACTCTGCATAAAAAAAATATGAAGAGTAGTTACAGTTTTACTACTGCAAGACGGTCTTAGAGTATAAAATCTATGCTCCTGAAAGTCCTCTCATGTAATCCAGTCAGTAATACTAGTTGGAAGAAAGCCAATTTAGACTTTCGTAGTTAAATAATGTAAGAGAGACGCTCATAGCATTTAAAATCACCGTGAAAATCACATTCATTGTTAGGCATTTTCTTACAGTTATCAGTTTAGTAAGACTTCGTTCTGCTATTGACTATATCATTCCATGCACAGAAATTGTAGCCAGCATTTGTTTGCTTAAAGGATAAAACAGTTATTCCTTGTGGTTGTTTTAGGTGTAGAGCTTATTTAATTCCCTAAAAATGTGCCCAGGGTGTTACTAGTTTGAGCTTCTTTTATTCAGTATGACAATGTTCATTTTATTCAGAAATGACAATGAAGGTAAGTCATAAGCTTACAAAGTGTGGCCAACACTGCTTAATTTTGAGTAGTAATCATTTGTATTTAAATAGCCATGTGAAACTGTAGCTATTATATAGGACAGAACAGTCCTCACCATGGCTACAGCCACCTCATTGCATCCCAGCTGGACCCCAATCCTGATGGTAGCCACACTGACACCACCCCCAAAGCTTGAGCTCTCTCTCCTCCAACACCCTTCCTGCTTAGCTGGGATGTAAAGGACCAGCAGGGGAGCCAAAGTCTGCTGGTTTTCAAAGCCCAGTGAAAATTCCATGTTAGTAAAAGCAAGAGACCCTGAGAACTTTACTCTGGTTGTGTCTCTGTACAGCAACCATAGAGACCTTGTTCTGTGCCAGGCTCTGTTTAGAGGTATTTGCAAGGGGTAGCTCACTTAATGCTCCATGAACTTCATGGGGGAGGAAGCACAGTTAGTTTCATTTTACAGAAAGGCATGTTGAGGTATGCTGACATGTTATGCCTTACCCATCCACATGGAGATGGAATCTTGACCCTCTAGCATCCTAGACTGTGGGGATCCTGAGGAAATTACCTCTAAATTAGAATCTATCCATGAGCCAGTCAGGAACTGGGCTAATATTTGTGGTTTTTAAAATAGCGTTTGTTAGCCAAAGCATTCCCAGGAAAGGTGTTGTTTTCATGTCTTATATATCAGGGTTGGGCATAAGTATTTTGTTTCAAATAAAGGTTGTACTCCAAAGTAATAAAAAGCTGAAAGTTACTAAATAGGAAAAACATAGGATTTCTCTCAGAAAGTCAAGGCATAGGGAAACAATCAACATGCATCTCTAAAAACTAACAACTTTTGCTAATAGAAGAGTTTACTACAAAGATTTTTCAAATATAGGCAAAAGTGCTTTTGTATCTACTATATTTCTGAAAAAATTAAATGAACCACTCCTCTTCCCCAAGAAAAGAAACACCCAGACTTTTGTTTTTATTAGCTTGTGTTTGCAGAGACTAAAATATATTATAAAATCCATGCGTACACTTCTTTTCTAAAACCCATTGATATCGGTATATCTAGTTTTTCCTAAACCTTTTTATCAATTTCATTTTTCTTCACAATGAACTTCTGATCAAATATAGTGAAGCATTTCCATGTTATCTCATTTGTGTTAATGTATAAAAGCCTGCTTCTTAGCATCAGTAGTGCCTAAATTCGTTTCTCTATTTTTTTTAATTTTTTTGTGTAGAAGAACAGGGGTGCAGGCCAGAGGTGCGGGGAACGAGGGGATTTACCAGAGACAAAGTGGGGAACAGAACAGGCAGATTTACTGAAATACCAGCAGGTGAGGCAGGAGAGGTCTGCTGCACACTATGTGGGTTAGGTCCCTGGCCAGGGATCGAACTCAGGCCCTAGTTTTCATAGCCCTGAGACTTAACCCCTAGGCTAATCTTGTTTAGAAAATAGGAAAAGCACATATCTGAGGAGGTGTAGACCTTCATCCCCCAAATCATATACGATGCTGTAAACCAATGTTACCATAATTAAAAGTTGGAAAAATGGAACAAGACACTCAAATAATTTGCAAATACATGTTGGCTGTTGACAGTGAGCTAACTGTGAGTGGGTTGGATTTATCACCACGTGTTTAATTATTGAATTGGAATTTTTTTTTAAAGGTTCATTTATTTATACAAGAACAGGGGTATGGATCAGAGGCGAGGGAGGGTGAGAGAATTCACCAGAGAGAGCGGGGAGCAGAACAGGCAGATGGACCAAAGACACTGCTGAGGAAAGCAGTGGGCAAGGCAGTAGAGGTCTGCCACGCCATGTGGGTAGCTCCCTGGTCGGTCAAGAATCAAACCTGTGCTGTAGAGGCTGCGGACAGCTTCACAGCACAGCGCTCAACCTGCTGTGCCACGGGGGAGGCCCCAGGAATTTTTTTTTTAAGATTTATTTATTTATGCATACAAGAGCTGGGGTACAAGCCAGAGGTGTGGGGGTGAGAGGATTCACCAGAGAGAGAGTGGGGAACAGAACAGGCAGATTGACCAAAGCACACTGCTGAAGGGAGTGGGGGGCGAGTCAGGAGAGGTCTGCTGCGCCATGCAGGTTGCTCCCTGGCTGGCTGGCTGGAAATGGAACTTGTGCTCCAGTGGCTGCAGACAGCTTCATAGGTTGCGTCTTTTTTTTTTTTTTTTTTTTTTAAAGAATTATTTATTTAATTATATATATATACGAGCACTGGGTACAGTCAGAAGCGCGGGAGGGTGAGAGAATTCACCTGAGCCAGAACGGAGAGCAGAACAGGCAGACTGACGAAGTACACTGCTGAGGGGAGCACCGGGCGCGGCAGGAGAGGTCTGCGCACCATGTGGGACCCTTGCCCGGTGGCTGGGGATCAAACCAGCGCTGCAAAGGCTGCGGGCAGCTTCGCAACCCAGTGCTCAACCGCTGCGCCACCGGGGAGGCCCATAGGTTGCGTCTTAACGCTTGGGCAACCACGGAGGCCCTGAAGTGGATTTTTTAGCTAAGTCTGAAAACCTAAATTTGATTGTTTTGCAATATCATTCATATGTACCAATATATAATGTAAAAAAGAAAAACTGACATTTCAGTGTGCCAAAGTCAAGGACCAGCCAAACTGATATTCTTAATGCACTTAATATACATAATATATATGATATCAGAAATAAATTTGTTATGGGAAATGATGAACATCAAATGGCCCAAGGATTTCTACCTCAGTTTCATACACTGGCAATCTTTCCAGCATTTTCTCAAAAGTTCTTGGTTATTCTAAGCATCACCCAGAAAACAAGATAATTAAGAATCACAGAAGATGACTTGTCCTTACCTGAAGTTAACACTGGCAAACAATAGTAACCTATTCTGGCATGAATTTATTATTCTGAGTGATGAATGAGAAAGTCAAGTTCCTGTCAGTATTCATGTTTCATGTTCTATATCCAGGAGAAGACGGACGCTTGGCCTATGAGCAGTTGGACAAATTTCCTCGAGACTGTGTTAAAGCTGGAGGTCGTCATGGAGCTGAAGTTGCTACAGCTTTTTAATTACAAGTTCACTCTGCCTAACAGCTGTCTTAATGAATGGCCCTTTGAATCAAGATGGTGCTGTGATCTAGCCGGGATGTGTTTAAAACTTGAAGAGTTTTGCTGAAGCTGTCTGGAAATTTAACATGCTGTAGAAAGAATTCAAGTTCAGTTTCACAGTATCACTCCACTTTTCCTTTGGCTAAGAGGCTAGGGCTGCATCTAATTCCATAGATGATCCTTTTGATGGCATCTGACAATACTTAGTTTCCAAAAAGTCCATCTTGCCTAATAGGTACAGAATTTTAAAATAGCCATCTTTGTATTTTTTTGTAAGTTCTAGTGTAAGCTTGAAATAGTCTTGTGATGGTTTTTTTGATAATTATCAAATGCCTTGCGATTTTTCTCTGTTGTGCTCTCAGGGTTGAGTGGCCCCCCTTAGCTACCCAATTTAACTTAAATACAAAGCACAAATAATTTTATCAAATAAACGTTTGCCTGCAGGACTCCTGTTAAATGGCGCATTGTAAGTTTAAGTTTTTTATTCCAAGCCTCCAGTATTTCTTGTGGAACTTTTTTTTTCTCCATCATGAAAATTTCAAAAGCATGTTCCCATTATGGTAAGAAAAATAGGTAGACGAGCAACAACTGCCTTGTTAAGATTAAACCTGTCCTCATTGGGGGAAAAAAGGAATTCAAAAATTTAAACTTTTTTTAAAGCAAGAGTTGTTTTTTATGATGCTGTACAATGCAGGAATTTTGATGCTAAGACAAATCAGAACCCAAAGGCGTGACTTCAGAAATTATTGATAACACTCTTTGAAAGTGGAAGAATCTGGTCGTTGAAGAAGTGCTAACAGTGAAAACATGGGGGTGTTAAATATCACCCTCCCTTCTGTAAAAATCACCACAGGATTAGGAAGAAGAATGCCCTGAGGAATAGTTACTCCCCAGAGAAATCACTCATTGCTAGAGGTTGCATCGGTTGGCCAAGTAGTTAATCAGCAGCTGCAGTTATTGCTTCTGTTTCAGGATAACAAGTCCATTCGAGAACGTACAAGACCCTTCAGTAGCTCTTACTAGGTAATTTTTCTTCCTCTTGAGACTATACATGGTGAGATATGCCAAGATACAAAATAATATGTGTGAGTGTAATATAAATTGTGGAATATCAATTGTGCTCTGAATGTGTTTGTATAAAATATCATTTAGATGTCATTAAAATATTTTCATTTGAGCAAGACCTTTAAAAACAACCCTTATTACCTTTATTTCATTTTCAAGTAAAATGGTTTGCCAGATTTCCTGGCAAATAGTTCATTCAACTGTGAAGTTATAAAGTATATATATATATTTGTATATTTATAAATATTATATATATGCACATATCCCTCATTTTAAAGGTACATTGTACAGTCTATAGTTAGTATGTATAGTCGGTAGGCTATGTGACATGGTTGAAATGATTTCTTTTATAGAAAGTCCAATCACAAATGTTAGTTTTTGTTTGGTTTGTGGTTTTTTTTATTTTTTGAATATTGCATGAATAATTTCCTATCTTTTGTATTCACATCTGCATTTTATTTTTTGTTGAAGCGCAGGTGCTTTAAGTTTGGTGGCATTTGTATTCATCACTCTTTCAAACATGTAAGTCAAAATAAAAATTATTTTTGAACTACTAAACCATGTACAGACTCCGCTATATTTTTTCCACATGCCTTTCTGGTGTTGGTATTTATGCTACACACTACATCTCATTCGCTATTTGAATTTATTCTTAATCTTGAAATTCCTTCATCTGTGAGTGATAATAATATTTGACAGAATGCAGTAAAGCTAATGGAGGAAAAAAAGAGTTGTGTTTCAGAGTTAAGGTATCTGTGAGCAAAGACTGTGAGCCCCATGAGAGAAGAAAAAAGCCGCCTTTTATTTCTGTTATGTTTTCAGTCCAAGCCCCTACCCCCATCATCACCCAGAGCCCTTACATTCAACTCTGAGAGTAAATATTTAGCAAATGACTCACTAAATGCCAGTGATTGCCTTACTTGAGTCAGCAGTAAAAAATAATTTTGCCTATAAATTTGTTGCTCTACTGTTTAACTGAACTGCCCTCCTTACATAATTATAAAGTATAAACCCAAATTCAGCAAAAAAAAACACCCAGCATTTCTCTCTAGATCAGTACATGACTGAATGTGTCTGCAATTCAAGTGAGAAATTCAATTAAAAATTTGAAATTGAGGGTGTTTAGCCAATGGATAGTTTTTAAAACCCTGAGATTGGTTTTTAAAACTATTTTATTTAGGTAGGATAGCAGAAAAGAAGATTTAAGGACTGAGCCTTTAGATACACCACTCTTTAGAGGTCATAAAGAAGACAGGAAACCAGCAAAAGTGTTTCAAGGAGAATGGGGTGTCAAATTGAGGACTGAGAATTGGGTTTAGAAGAATAACAGTAATCAGTGACTCTAATAGGCATTTTTAGTAGAGATAGAGGGTCGAAATTCTATTTGAAGTACATTTAACAGAGAATGGGAAAGTATGTTAAATGTCAAGTAAAGCAACTCTTTGAAGTTTTTGTCACAGAGAAATAAATGTACAGTAACTCAGTGAGTGGGGCTACCTGAAATCAAGAAAGTATTTTCTTTTTTTTTAAAGATTTATTTATTTATTTATTTATTTATTTATTTATACAAGAACCGGGGTACAGGCCACATGTGCGGGAGGGTGAGAGAATTCACCAGAGACAGAGTGGGGAACAGAACAGGCAGACTGATGAAATACACTGCTGAGGGGAGCAGCAGGCGAGACAGGAGAGGTCTGTCACGCCATGTGGGACCCTCGCCGGCCGGCCAGGATTGAACCAGCGCTGCAGAGGCTGCATACAGCTTCACCGCGCGGCGCTCAACTGCCTGCACCACCAGGGGAGGCCCAAGAAAGTATTTTCTTAATAAGAAAAATCGCAGGCTTGTTGATGATCAAAGGATCTAGTTGAGATGGAAAAGTGACTAAGGCAAAAGGAGAATTGTAATCTCAAGTGGAGGGAGAGAAGTTGAGTGACATCTACTGCATAAGTAGAGAGGACCTCATTCACAGCCTATAGGAAGCTGAGTGTGTGGGCACAGGTACGGATAGTTGTTTGGATTGGATGCAATGGTGAGAGCTATGGAAATTCTCTTGATTGCTTCTTTTTGTTTGTTTCAGCAAAATAGGATAAATATTGGAAATCTGAGGCAGAGAAAAAGTGATGACGTGACAAGCAGAATAGGCATAATACTATGAAAGCAAGTTCGAACAGTCAAAGTATTCTGGCAAATTCCTAGTATACCTGCTAAACAAAAGTGCATAGACAGGAATGAGCTGTGTACATTAAGCAGAATCAGTGTAGTTTAAGTTGAGATTCTGTGCACTAGGGAAGTGAAAGGAAGCTTGACTTAGTTCGTATCATAGAAGGCCTGCGTTGCCACCCTGAAGAATTAAGGCATACATTGCTTCCCTGGATGTATGTATTCCATTCTATAGTGTTGCTAAGTGATGCATTCCAGAGTTCTTGACTATTCTGTTACTTCCAGCAGTGTAACCAAAGCACCTTGACCTTTTTACTCAATGGCTAAGTCCCGTGTTTTTTATATACGATTTTGGACTTGGATTTCTCAGTGTTTTCGAGGGCTGTGTCGGAGTCTCCAGAAATTCTTGAATGTCAATATTAAGGGCCTCTGCTTTGAGAAGGAAGAGATTTTCATCCCTCCAGTTGAATGTATTTTTCACAAAGAAAAAATGGTGGTGCTTGGTCATGTGGTGAAGAATAAAAAACTACCCATTGAGAAGCGAGCTCAAGCTGCCTATAAAATTGGACTATTGGCTTACACAGGTATTGATTTAACCACTTGTGCTAAAACAGGTATTTCAAAATTGTTTCACCTATAACTCTGAAGTCAGTGATCTTCATAGCTCTAGTCTTCAAATTCCATCATTTCCTTTGCCTACATTATTCATTCTTTGTCTTTGTACCACCAAAGATATTACTTTCTCCTTTTTTAAGAGTATTCATCCAGTAAATTACTAAATATTGTCCTACTTTTTTTTAAAAGTACCTATCCCAAAATTGCCTATCGAGTTCTCATTATCAGAAAAAATGTAAAAGAATCTATACTGAGTTGATGTAATTCCAACCTAGTGATAATTCCAATACAGAATAAAACGACTAGACATTTAATTTTTTTAATCTTGTGAAAATGCATTGCACAGAAACTAGCTTAGAAAAATCATTGAGGACTTCATGTTTTTAAGACACCTATCAGGAATGCCAATAAGTGCATCAGGGAAAAATAACTATTAATGTATATTAATGCAAAGAATGAAGTGGTAAAACATTTAAACACGCAGTGTCTAATGATTCTGAAATCCAAACTTGCTTCATTTTTTTCCTAATAAATTTCAGATTATGTAATAAAATTTTATAGTTAGTGCTGAGCAACCCATCTGCTAGTTAGAAGCTATGACTGGTAGTGATGAGGTTTATAGATTTTTTTCTAATAAGAAAATGAGTTACTTAGATGGAATTGGATAGACTGAATGGTACCCAAGGGAGAAGACATTTCCTGTTTCCAAGGATCAAAGTGTACTAGGTGCCACGGGTACAGAACTAGAGAGAAGACAGGAAACTCAGGAGAAGTGATAGGTAAAGGGAGGGTGTTGGTGCCCAATATGAGCAGGCTCAGTTCCTTGTGTGGCTATATTCACTACTGTGAATACTAGCTGTGCTGATGGTGCACAGAGATCTTATGCCCAGACTTCAACTAAAGCTTTAACAGTAAATAGAATGTTCTTGGAAGCATGGGAGTGCAAGAAAGAGAAATCTAAACCGGACCAAAACTCCAAGGGTTAGAATCTGCCCAAGGATGGCAACTGTGCCTTATCGTGCAAACACCCTTCATTCAATGCTTTTTTGACTGGTAACATGCTGGAGTTTGAGATTCGAACTAGGAAGATCTGAGTTCAGGTATATGACTAAAGCAGAGTGTACATGTCAGTAACCAAAGCAAGGAAAAACTTGTAAGGTCACGTGGGTCACACAAGGTGAGAAAGTTGTGAGGGTATGGAGTCGCAATGGACACCAACTCATAAAAAAACCTCTCTCCTCTGCTCTATGATACCCTGGCTTTGCACCTCAAACTTTGGTTTTCTCTTGCGCTAATACTCTGGTATTTCTTCAAGTACTGAAGACAGAATCAGAAATGAAGTCATGAAGGAGGTTTTCTCCATGAACATAACCAACTTTTTATTTTCCTTGAAATACTCCTCGGTCCTCATTAAAAGTACAAGGGAGGAGCCTTTGGCAGGCAGGCACCTTCCAATTTATTCCCTGCTTACCAACACACTTCCTCATCTTCACAGCAGGCCATGACATGAGGACATGGGCGGGGAAGGCAGGAAAAATCAAAGTATCCCCCGTGTCACTGATAGGATACACCAACAAGATGACCAGTGAGCTCTCAAATGTGACTAGTTACTCCATATACCCAATACTTCTGGAATTGCAAATGCTTGTTTTACAGGAGGGCCGACTGCTGGGAAATTTGCTGCCGAGTACATGAAAGAAGTAGCTAACTTGCTGAACCATCAAGAGATGACACCAAGAACAAGGATCTTGCTTCTCCAGAGTGTGGCATGTTGGTGTCACTTAAACCCTGTCAGCCAGAAAAGAGCCAAACGTATGCAGTTTATTAATGTTCTCATTAAGTTTTTTGAGCAAAAATATGATTCTACTATCAAAAGTCAAATTAACAGCAACCTCCTCATTAAGTTTTGGATTTGCTATGTTCTCTCTGTCATGACGTGCAATAATGTGCTTTGCATGAATGCGCTTAAAGAACACACACATCTAAAATATCATTTGCAAATGTTGGCCTCCGAGAATTGGGCTGGGTGGCCTGAGAACTTTGCCGAGGTGCTGTATTTTCTAATTGGTTTTCACAAGTGTTAATTTCTCTAAATATTGTTATCTGATGCATCTGTCTGCACCACTGTATTACCCCAGAAAACTGAAATAAATCATAAAAGTCAATATATTCTTCTGTGTTTTCTTTATGTGACAGAGACATTCTTTGTAAGATTGCATAATCCACCTTCCTAAAGGCACCTAAAGGTTTAAAATGCTCTCATGAAAAAAAAAAAAAGTTCATAAAATGACGAGAACTCATTGGAAGATCATTGTTGATATGGCAAGAGCAACAGTGTGTTTGGGGAATGATTAGGTGATAAGAAGCCAAGACACCCAGAAAAGCCAAATTCTAAGCAAATCCACATCCTACTCTCTCCCAGCAGAGGATATTACTGCCTCACCCATAACCATTCAGCTCTAACTATTCCATCCAAACTTCCAGCAGGCTGTCTTTGGCTAAGATGGTTTTCTGGCTACCAGAGCATGATCCTGCTGTGCATCAGACCAGCTGGAAATGCAGGGGAATTAGCACATAGTCGGAGCAGCCAATACCATTGGCACAACTCTGGATGGAGAGTGTCCTGTGTTCAGACACCTGAGGACAACCTAGAGTTCTTAGATTTTCCTATGGAAGATATCCCCTCTTCTTGTTTTGTCTGTTGTAGAAAATGTAACCAAAATCTGCTGTTGACTTTTGTGTTGCCTGGAGTCATCAAAGGCTTTATTATTAAAAATTGCTCATGGAAAAATACCTCAAGGACATACAATGTTGCAACCACTCTAGACTGAATTGTGTGCTTTCAGCTTCCACAGGTTGGCCCTGACCGAGTTGTGCTTCAGTGTCACCTTTTACTGAGGAGCCTAAGAAAAAATTGTGTAGCTTCATGGTCTTCACTTGTGCATTTTACAGGAATGTTATTAAGGACACTATTCACATCCTGTGGATGCATGAGGGTCTTGGGGAAATTTTTCTCAAATCTTAAACCAGAAAAAACTAATCTACTGAGCAACTGTGTATTTTCATCTTTGGGGGATTTTATGAATTGTGTAATGCAGTTGCTCAAACTAGAATGAAAGGCTGGAATCAGCAGTGTCATTTAGACAGTAGGTCACTGTCAGAAATTACTTTTTCAGTAGGGCCCTCCTTGGTGGCCTAGAGGTTAAGTCTCAGCGCCATTACCATGAAGGCTCGAGTTTGATCCCCAGCCGGAGAGCTAACCTACGTACTGTGCAGCAACCTTTCCTGCCTTACCCACTGCTCCCCTGGGCAGTGTATTTCAGTAAATCCTCCTGTTCTGCTCCCCACTGTCTCTGGTGAATCCTCTCATCCCCCGTTCCTCTGGCCAACACCCCAGTTCTTCTACACAAAAATAAATAAATAGATCTTTAAAAAAGTTACTTTTTAAAAAATGTTTTCCAAGTTAAATTTTTTTCTCAAAGTAATATAATGAATATAGTTTAAAAAGTCAATAACACAAGTTAATAACACAAGATCTGATGAGATAGACATCTCCTAACCTTCTTGTGATTCATTCTTCCAGAGACAATTATTTGAATTCTTTTTGTTTGTTTGTTTTTCATTTTTTTTATTGCAGTTACAGCAGTTTACAATATTTTATATGATTTAGCGGTATAGACTCTCCTCTTTAGTTGTACATTACTGCACTACTTCTACCACCAAAACACCCATAGTCCTCCACCCCAGGAAGTTCATTGTGCTTCCTTCCCAGTTGTCTCTCCCCTCTCAGCTTCCCACTCTGGAAACCTCAATTCTATAGTCACATTTCGAGGTTTGGCTTTTTCAGACCCTATGTTTTGTTTCTCTATCTTCCATATCAGACACTATCAGGTATTTGTATTTCTCCTTCTGATTTAATTTCACCTAGCATTATCCTCTGCAGTTCCATACATGTTGTCACAAAGGGCAAGAGTTTATCTTTTTTATAGCTGAGTAATATTCCATTGTGTGTTTATACCACATCTTCCCAATCCACTTAACTGTCTGAGAATTTTTGTTTTTATAACCTGGCTAACATTTTGATTGTTCTGGTATTTACAAAAGAAAAAAAAACCCTTTCCCCCCAGTTTCAGGCTTTTTTTTTTTTTTACTTCTTGATACAAGTAAGAAAAATGAAAGTATTGTGTATCACATGAAGATGAGTCCATAAATTTCCATAGTTTTATTTGTAATAGCCTGAGTGTCATAAATTGTCATAGTTTTATTTGTAACAGCCAGAGTGTCTATCAGCAAAGTGAATGGATAAACAACTTGTGGTATAGCCACTGGGTGGAACACTACTCAGCAACAAAGTAATGTAATTGGAATCACAGCATGGATCAGTCTTGATGTTAAGTAAAAGGAGCCCAGTAAAAGTACCCACTATATGCTTCCATTTAAGTAAATAAAATTTCCATGAGAAAGCAGATTGCTCAGTATATTCTAATACTGTCCCTTACTTATGTCTACTTGTCCTTCTGTTCCTCTCTCAATATAATTGTGCCATAATTGTCAATTAAAACAAAGGGATTGTTTCAGTATTTGTGATAGCTAAGCCCTATCATACATGATGATTATGTTTCCTTCTTTGTACAACTGTTTTCCCTGGAGTTTGTGGGGTTTTGCTTAATTTTCTGTATACCTATCACTAATGTATTTCCACACTCACCTCTACTATGATTTGGCTTCTCTCAATACAATTACATGTTGAGTTATTGTCAACTGTGGTGTCTTCTTGAAGATAGCCGCCATCATGGAGCCCACAGTGCTCTTGCTCCTATCTGGGTCTCTAAACAGCTAACAAATATGTTAGGGAGTACTTTGGCACTACACACGTTGGATACTGCTTTTTATCACTTTTTATCACTTCCCTTTTTCTGGTTCAAATATTTATACACCAATTCCTATCCTTCTTGTTTGACCTAATCACCTAGTTAGCTAAAATCTGTAATTCAACCAAGACATATCTTGAAGGGAGCAGAGTAGGCAGGGTACAGTTTTGTAAACAAAGCAAAGGCATAAGTACGGGCCCTAACTAGAATCTATTCTTTTCTTCAATTTCTTTTGGGGAGGACATCTAATCCATACTATATATATATTTTTTTAAAGACTTATTTATTTATTTATATAAGCACTGGGTATAGTCAGAATCATGGGAGGGTGAGAGAATTCACCATAGCAGGGGGCAGAACAGGCAGACTGATGAAATACACTGCTGAGGGGAGCAGCGGGTGGCAGGAGAGGTCTGCGCACCATGTGGGACCCTCACCCAGTGGCCGGGGTTCGAACTGGCGCTGCAGAGGCTGCGGGCAGCTTCGCAAACCAGTGCTCAACCGCTGCACCACCAGGGATGCCCCATACTATATTCTTTTTTTTTTTTTTTAAAGATTATTTATTTATTTATGCAAGCACTGGGTACAGTCAGAAGCGCGGGAGGGTGAGGGAATTCACCAGAGCCAGAGAGGGGAGCAGAGCAGGCAGAAGGACCGAAGTACACTGCTGAGGGGAGCAGCGGGCGGCAGGAGAGGTCTGCGCGCCATGTGGGACCCTCCTCCGATGGCCGGGGAGCAGCCAGGGATCGAACCGGCGCCGCAGAGGCTGCGGGCAGCTTTGCAACCCAGCGCTCAACCGCTGCGCCACTGGGGAGGCCCCCCCATACTATATTCTTAAGGGGGCTGTCAGTCAAGGTATCCTGCCCACCTGTGGAGTGGGAATTAAGCCAGGTTTCACACATAAGGTTTTCCAACTGAATGACTTTATATATGTGTGTGTATATAAATATTACATCACCCATCATCCTTCATTTTTGTACAGTGAATGAATTCCCCGTAAAATTCCTACCACCAATTCACCTGTGCACAATCACCATGGTCCCTTGTGCTCTACCCACCCCTGTTCTGATCTTTCTCCCTTCCCTTCCCCTACAGAATGTCTCTGGTCTATGGTTCTCTGTTGATTTTGATTTTTACTTTATTATAGTTATTTTTTTTCCTGATCCCTTATTTGGACCCTCTATATTCCTCCTATAAGTGAAACCATCCGATATTTTTCTTTTTCTTTCTGGCTTATTTCGCTGACCATAATCCCTTCCAGCTCCATCCATGTGCTGCAAATAGCATTAGTTTATCCTTTTTGATTGCTGAGTAATATTCCATTGTGTATATATACCACATCTTCTTGATCCAGTCATCTATTTTTTGGGCATTTGGGTTGTTTCCATAGCTTGCCTATTGTAAACGGTGCTGCAATAAACATAGGGGTGCAGGTGTCCTTTTGAATTAATGTTTCTGTGTCCTTTGGGTAGATACCTAGGAGTGAAATTGATGGATCATATGGAAGCTCCATTTTTAGTACCAACTGACTACTTTTTGCCATTTTCCTTTAAAATACTCAATTGAATTCTTTAAACAAACCTCAAAGTTCTTTTTTTATATTAATTTTTTATTTTTTTACATCATTGTTCATTTTTAAACAATATTTGCCCCACCCCCTCAGGTGTAGTCCCCATAGAGTTTCCTTACCCAGTGCACCCGTGCACCATCACCTCAGTCCCCTGTGCTCCTCCCTCCCTCTGATCCCTCTCCCTCCTCCTCCCCTGCAGGATGGCTCTGATTTATAATTGTTCATTTTTGCTTTGTTGTGTCTTGTACTGTTGTTATTTTTTTACACTGGTATCTTATTTGGTTCCCCTATATTCCTGCTATAAGTAAAACCATCCGATATTTTTCTTTTTCCATCTGGTTTATTTCACTGAGCATAATTCCTTCTCGTTCCATCCACGTTGCTGTGAATGGCATGAGTTTATCTTTTTTGATTGCTGAATAATATTCCATTGTGTATATATGCTGCATCTTCTTGACCCAATCATCTATTTTTGAGCAAACTCCGAAGTTCTTAGATTCTAATTTGCTGGGTTTGACTGACCTCGGACCCTGACTCCAAGGCATTTTCATTGAGATTTTCTGACATTTGATATCTACTTTAAAATTAGGCTCATCATCTAAAGAAATGTCTTCCAAATCTTCCATCACTAGGGTCAATTCCCAGGAGCTGAAAACTTAACATTCATTACCCCAAGCTTCCTCTTGAAATCCATCCCTAAAAACACTCCCAGAGACAGCTGGGCAACATAGCTCAGCCTGGATATTTAGTGTCCTGCCTTCTTGTGGAAATTTTACTTACTTAAATGGAAGCATATAGTGGGTATTTTTATCTGGGTTTTGTTTTGTTTTTTGTTTTGTTTTTTGTGGGACCCTCGCTGGCGGCCAGGAAATGAACCCGCGCTGCAGAGGCTGCAGGCAGCCTCGCAGCCCAGCGCTCAACCACTGCGCCACCAGGGGAGGCCCTTATCTGGTTCTTTTTACTTAACATCAAGACTGATCCATGCTGTGATTCTAATTACATTGCTTTATTGCTGAGTAGTATTCCACCCTGTGGCTATACCACAATTTGTTTATCCATTCACCTTGCTGATAGACACTCTGGCTATTACAAATAAAACTATGACAATTTATGGACTAATCTTCATGTGGCACACACAATACTTTCATTTTCTTAATACCTAGGAATGGAATGGCTGGGTTATATGGAATGTGCATTTAAGATAATACTGAACATTTCTATAGCATTTGTAGGATTAAAACATTGCCACCAGCACCGGAGTGTTCCATGGCTTCCCATCCTTCGTACTTGGTATGGTCAAGTTTTTCTTTTTGTAAACTCTAGCCATGATAGGTAGTCTGATAGGTACCTAGGAGTATTTAGTATAAGTGTGTAGCAATATCTCGCCTTAGGTTTATATCACTGTCTCAGGACGGTGGGAGTGGGGTGTGAAAGGGAATGTAATGATTGCTATTTGGGCTTTCAGACCGGGGTAAATTTTAGTTAACTGTTGTTCTGAAAGGCTACAGGTGGTGCCAGTTATTCAAAATGGACTCCCCAAAACTTACACTTCCCCAAAAACCAATATTGTTGACATCTTTCCATGTGCTCATTTGCTGTCGGTAGATATCCTTTCCCCCATTTAAAAAATCAGGTTATCTACTTAATGAATTTTAAGAGTTCTATATATTAATAGATGTAAATCTTTTGCCAGATGTTTTGCAAATATTGTCTCCCAGATCTGTATCTTATCATTTTCTTAAGTCTTCCCAAAAAGACTTGATTTTTATGAAGTCAAATATTTTTTTAATTTTTTTTTATAGAGGCATGTTTTTTATTTTATTTATTTATTTGTTTGTTTGTTTGTTTATACATGCAATGGGTACAGTCAGAAGCGCGGGAGGGTGAGAGAATTCACCAGAGCGGGGAGCAGAGCAGGCAGAAGGACCGAAGTACATTGCTGAGGGGAGCAGCGGGCGGCAGGAGAGGTCTGCGTGCCATGTGGGACCCTCCGCAGGTGGCCAGGGAGCAGCCGGGGATCGAACCTGGGATAGAACCGGCCCTGGGATAGAACCGGCGCTGCAGAGGCTGCGGGCAGCTTCGCAACCCAGCGCTCAACCGCTGCGCCACTGGGGAGGCTCCCCAAATTGATTTTAGATTTTACATTAAAATCCTTTTCAGTTCCCTCGCCTCTTTCGCTGGAGGTGCTATAGCCAGAATGGGGGTATCAGCGAGTTCTGAGGTTTCTGTACTATTCCTGTCACCTGCTTTGGCAACTAACAGGGCCAGCAGTGGCTGTGGGGATTTTGCTAATTGGAGACTGGCTTGGGCTTTGGCCTTGATGTCCCATCCTAACAGAGGAATGGGGCAGGAAGGTGAGACTAAAAATCAATGTATGAACACGTGGCCTTGTGTTGAGCAGGGCAGAAGTGCTGTAAAGCGTCCTGGCTTAGGATGGCCATCAATGATAGTGAGGAGCACAGTTAACCAGTAGGTCAGTCAAGAGAACTGGAATAAGGTAAGGCGGAGTAAGTGGTCCCCATTTCCAGGGTCACCTGAGGCTCATCCATATAGTAAATAGGGGAGCCTGTCTCATCACTGGGCTGCTTCAGAAAAGGTCTTCTGCCCCAGGTTCTACGTAGAGGTAGCTGACCTGTGGTTTGGGCTGACCACTTCCCTCTCTGGAGTGGTACAGTCCCTCTTCCAATGCCCTGTGTGATGGCACAGGGGCATGGCCCTGGTGGTGCTTTCTTCAGGCACTTGTAGCTGAGGTGTCCCAGTGGCTACATGCTTGCCATATTTTAAGAGCTCAATAGCCACATACGGCTACCTGGTTTTCATACAGGACAGCACAGATATTTCTAATGCCTCACAAAGTTTTATTGGACAATGTTGCTAAAGATTTAAAAAGGCTTCCATTTTTTTAAATATTTGGTTCAGGCACTGAAGGAACAGTCTTATTTTTCACAGTATCACTGAGGTATAGACTTTATCTCAATACTAGAGATAAGAAAATCAAAGTTCTATAAGGATAAATAACTTACCTAAAATAATCCTTTAAAGCTTGATATTGTTCTTTATTGTCACTTTATACAAAGGTATTCAATCCCAAGACTGTATACTTTGCAAAATTCCCCTTTATTTTGTCCTTTTCTTTCTTCATAACAGTACATATAGGAAATCCCTAATTAATTTAACCCTGCTCTTCTCATTCCTTCAATATCTATACTATATGTGTAATGTATGTTTCAGAACACTTAGCTATTCCTGCCTATCTCTTCATTGCAACTTTAAACTGCCCCCCACTTTGCTTCTCTAAAGTACTATCACCATCATTTTCATCATTTTAAGTTTCTAAGAAGAGTCTGATTATACTGGCCAGTCAGGCCTTTACCTGGCTAATCAGATTCACTCTGGGAGCTTTGGAAACCTGATTCTCATACTTCACAATACAAACTACTATAAAAATATCTAATATTTGGACATGGGGGTTCAGAAATCAGTAAATTCCAACAGTGGTCTTGGGGTCCAATTAAGTTTGGGAGTTAAGCCTCAACTATCTCAGTCTAAGGAGGATAAAATTTCTCCTATTTCTCCCATGAGAGCAGAGGAGTAGAACTAAAATACAAACATAGAAACAGTAAAATTATCTACATAGACTTCTTATCCACCATTCTTCTAAGACACACATAATGCTCAATAGGGACTGAAGTTTATTTATCATATACACAAGTCATATCTGACAACTGAGAAAATGCTATTTACATAAAACTTTATAGATTAAAAATACATAGTATTTGTATTTTAATATAACAGGGCCCCAAGGATTCAAACAAGGAAGTTTGATTCCAAGTCTGCATTTACAATTATTTGCTCTGCTACAAAGAACTCTGGTGGAGGTAAACTTTGGCAGTATATGTCTCAAAAGCCAAATGTTACTGGATTTCATATACAGGGTTTTGCATCTGTAGAGGAAGATACAACTTCTTCAGCACATGTACCGGTTTCTGAGTCTTCCACTTCAGAATCCTCACCAGTTTCCTCTTCAGAATCAAATTCCTGACTATCCGGTGATTCAAAGTTAGCCAGAGGTTCATCACTCAGTCTCTGTTAAAGAATAAAGCAATAATTTGTTGAAAAAACTTTAAAATCCAAGTCCATTACCAGTAAGCTGATATAACTGACCTTCAAAGTTGTAATAAGGTTCTTTTCACAATGGTTCTCAAACAATTACAAACTCACTCACAAACAATTGTTATGTCAAAGTATCTCTACCTTGCCAGATCATATTTCAACAAAATCAAGACTATACTTTCAGGGATCATTTCTATAGTTCGTATTTCAACAAAATCAGTTGAATAAGTTTTATAAGGCACAAGTATTCAGAGTATAACTAAAATTAATAGCTCTCAACCTAGCTATAGAAGGACCATATTATTATGGACCAACACTTTTTTTTGCAGTTAAGAAAGCTACGACAGTACTTTCAAGTGAAAACCAAATATTAATTTGGTCACAGCTCTTAAGTAAAATGCAGTAATCCAGCTCAATTTTTGGTTTGAAAAACTTTCTTCCTATCAACAAGATGATTTTTTACAAATGTGAATTAGTTTTAGATTTTTTAGGCCAAGACTTGTAACATAACATCAGGCTAATGCTTATAAGCACATTAACTACTTCTAAATTTTAAAATTTTATATATAACCACCAAACATTTTTAGTACACCAAATAACATTTTGTAAATGATATTAAGATTAAATTAAAAACTTGTCAATGGTGGAATATTTTCCATATAATTTTTCTGGTAAGTTCATTCCTTTTTATATCTTTACAAGAAAATATTCTTTTGCTTCATAAAAGTTAATACTACCTAATAGGAGGTTGTTATCATGCATACACACATCTGTCTGTTGTATCTCATCTTCGACCATCCTACAAAGTAGAAACTACTACTCCCCCCTCTTTTTTTTTTTTTGTTAAATACTTACTGGTCACTTTTTTTTTTTTTTTTAAGGTATCTACTAGTCACACTATTGCCTCGATTTTATAGGGGGAAAAAGATGATTTTAAATCAAATGAGTGTTAAAACACCTACCTCGATTACCTCTGCCATGTATTGCACATGTTGTGCTACTTCAGCCAATTCTCTATTCTCCTTTTTCAGGCGGGCAATTTCATTGTCCTTCTGTTCAATTTCTTTATGAAGCTACATGACATAAGTAAAGCTCAGTATTCATAGAATTGGCTATGCCATATACCAACTTACATGCCTCCCAGGAAAATATGGATAGACACATTTATTAGGAAGTTCCTAACGAAGAAGCTGTCTTTGGTGCTGAATATCAGAGGCTTCATTTTTTTATCGCAATTCTGCTAGCAGTTTCCTTTCTAATTAAATTTTGTGTAGACCAACATTAAAACTAGTTCATATTGCTCTAACCAAATGCTAAGCCAAACAAGGAAGATAATCCTGGAACATTAAAATATGCCACCACATATATTCAGTACATACTTTCTCATTTTCCTTAAGCGCTTCATAGAGAGCCTTCCTTCGTTTTTCTGCCACTTCTTTCCAATATTGAGAGGATGGATTTTCTAAAATAAATTAATGTAACTTTGAAAGTCATTACTGTTATATGATGCTGTAAAAACCCAGTAAGTTTTTTTATTTAAAAGAAAATATTTAACTTTAGTATTACCCACATTCCTTAGTCATATCCATTTTTAAAAGATCCAAGTTAAAAAGCCAAATAAATTCTTTGCATTTTATTTCTCCCAACATTTTAAAAGATTTCAATCCTTCAGAAGAATCTCAATATACATACAAGGAATACACATCTATCTTCCCCCTTGTTAAAGACGCTTGCAACATTTGCTACTATTTGTACTTTTTGTCTGTTTAACACTGACATTTCTGAAAAAGTTTAGATCTATTATTTTATACATTGGATTAATATGTATTTATTTGAATTATATTAATTTTTAAGTGAGGTGATATTGGGGTACACCCACCAGGTATTACCACCATAGTGCACCCACCACCAACTCACTCATATTCCACCACAGCAGATCACTGTGCTGTCTTCCTCCTTTGTCTTTCCCTCCCTTCCCCCTCACCACCTTGGCATTTAGGTTCTGAAGTCAGCTGGCAAGGGTTAGTTTTCCAGCTTATCTTTATCTGACTATTAATTTGGTTACTTCTTAGTCCACACATGAGTGACACCATCTGGCATTTATCTTTCTCCTTATGACTTATTTCATTTAGCATTATCCTTTCAAGCTTCATCCATGTTGCCACAAAAGGCAAGAATGAACTTATATTTGGACTTGTTTCCATTAGGTTCAAGCAATTATGTTTGTCAAGAATATTGTGTAAGTTCTGTCCATCTCAGAGCACCATCAGAAAGCACATGCTGATAGTCTTAAGACACAGGCTATATTAAATGGGATCATGTGGTTAAAATGATATCTATTAAATTTCCCTTACAAAGATAACAATGTTACTTCAGTAAAAAAATAAATAAAAAGTAGGTTAAAAAAGAGTAGCAAATAAATATAGGACATTGTGTCTCAAAAAGTAAAAAATAAAAAATCTAGACTATATAAAAAAAAAGAGTAGCATACTATACCAAACCAAATTAATTTGGAAAACCAAAAATGTTAAGTTTATTTCCTAAATATCCAATCAACCTTTCCTAATTTTGCCTTATAAAATCCTACTGTCTACTACTTCTCTTTCTCCTTATTGTTCTCCAAGCAGGTCACTAGGAACCCAAATGTCAATATGACCTTGAGAAAGTCAACGAACTTAGCTCTAAATCTCAACTTTTTAAATCAGTAATAACATCAGGTGTCCTATGACTAGCATGGAAGCAATCATTTAAAATAATGCTTATAAAACATCATTAGTTTCCTCTCTTGATTTCCATTGCCATTCCATTAAAACCTAGCATTTACTACAGGCACAATATATCTCCATCTTCACTCCCTCGATCTCAGTCATGTTTCTGTTGGCTTCCTTACTTCATATTCTTCTAGGGTGTCCAAATTCCTCTTTACTTTATTCTCTAGATGTTTTTTCTGAAAAGATCATTTCTAATCTTATTAACCCTTAAGGCAATCCAGTATCATAGCTGCCAATATTAACCACTGTCTTTTCCTGGAATGTATCAACCATATCTGGATCTCACCAAACAATAGGTCCTGTCCAGATTTATAGTATTTGTATATTTTCAACAAAAGCAATTTTAAATTACCAAAAACATAAAAGTAAAATATCTAAAAGTGTCCTCAGAATAAGCGGCTGTGGGCAGAATTCATGAGAGTATAATAAATACCTTTATAATATTTAAAATTTCAAAATAAAAGTTTAATATAAATAAGTAAAATTTCTATACCTGTAATCATAAGATCAAATGCTTCTTGGGTAACTTCTCCAAGATCTTTATTTTCACTATGTTCTGGGACAGTCACAGCGCCAGAGTTGGAAGTCTTAGATATTAACTGGTTATTCCAATGTTTCCTTTTGGACATGCCTTTAACCAACTATAATGAATACATGTATCAATCTCATTTATTTTGATTTAATGAACAAGAAAAGCTGAGTGGTTTTGTCAATGAATAATTCAACAAATACTACTTCTGTAAGGCATATGTAATTGTTAAATCATTTGCAAATTTCAATGATTGAGGTCCTTCTGACCAAGAATATTTTGGCAATGTTTTTTAATATTGCCAAATTTTCAATATTGCAGTTTTAGTTGTACTCCATTCTAGTGCAGTAACACATACCTCATTTTCTCTTCCAACAAGAGATCCAGCTGCGGAAGGCTGAATCATCTTCAGAGTTCTTCTTGGAACAGGACTATTCTAAAAGTCAAGATAATTCATTATCTGGTTACAGAGTTTTCTATGGATTGTCACTGTTTTAGTCCTACTATAATTTAGGAGAAAAGGAAACACTAAGAACACTAATAATTGGTGTTCTATATACTTTTAGAAAGCTACACATAAACAAGACACTGGTTTAATCAACTAGCAAACTTTTCATTTCTTTAAAATTACAATAAAGTCTGAAGAAATTCTACAGATTCGATCACCGAAATGTGTTACAAACAAGTAACTTCTCTGCTCACATTTCAATATATGCTCTTGCTAAAGTCATTTTTGTCAGCTAATAGTAACCAGTTAAAATAAAAATTTAATAAAACTTGTCACAATGTTTCAAACCATGTATGATGAAATTCTAGTAAAATAGGAATATTTATATCCCTCTTAAAAGGTCTTCCACACGCAAAATCAACAATTTTCTAAACATCCTAACGTGGCAGAAATTCACAAAAGAGGAAACTGGAGGAAAAAGGTTGTTTACACTGCAAAATACCTCTTACCCAAAAAGGGATTCATTTCAAACTTCTCTTAAATTGTGACTATCCCCTAACACATTTATATGTATTCTTCAAAGGAATATCATTTTCAAGAACATACTTTACACAAAACCAAATATACATGTAATAGAGCACCCCTCACAACCTTTGTCATGCAGTTTTGCTTCACATCCATTCACAGCAGATGGCTAAAATGTCAGTGCCTGAGGCATAGTAAAATATCCCAACAAGCCCAAGCTATTGTTTTGGAAAAACTATTGCCTTCCTTGTAATATGTAAATACCTTCCTGTAGATTTCCTGATCCAAGAGCTCTCTCTATTTTTTGCCAAAAAAAAAAAAAAAAATCATTAGTTATACTGCCACCATGGGATAGCAAACAATGGTAAATACTCAAACAAGGTTAGCAAGAACACGATACCAAAGCAGCGTGAGAAAGTTAGTGATTCCACACTGTACTTCACATGGCAAGAGTTCATTTTTCCCACGGTAAAGTTTCTACTGCTGATCATTATCTCACTATTTAACTGAAGGACAATGCCAGCTACTCTGAGAACAAACATTACACCAACATTTCAGATATAATTTATATTATAGATTAGTCAACAGTCTCCAGACAAATAGAAAAAAACAATCTTGGAATCTTAATAATAGGTATTAATGTATTTAATGCTTGCTACTAATAATGGTCAAAGAAGTCAGCTGAATTATTACCACAAAAGAAAAAAAATGACAATTTCCAAGACTTTACTTTTATATAGGTAAGCTTTATAGCTAGCAGTCAGATCCCAAAGTACACTATTATCATTTTTTAAATATAGATCATGCATTGGAATAACTGACTTTTTAGAAAGGCTCTTACATATTAATAGGTCTCAACCTTTCTAAGAAAACAATTTGAGATTTTATGGACCCCTGTCTCACCAAAGAAAAAAGAATGCATAGCGCAAACTCACATAGAAGTTTGCATATACCTGTCAAGGAATTCGTAAACTCCTAAAATTGACTCTTACAGAACTAGTTTTAGTCAAATTCTTTCATTTTATAGATAAGTAAATTGCAGCTTAACATGGTAAATAAATAACTCAGCAAAAGGTGAGTTTTGAACGCAGAACTTGAACCAAACAGAATACAGGTCCTTTTATTACCAAGTGGCGTTAGCGCAGCTAGACTTTTCTTTAAACGTAAGGGTCTACTGAAATTATGTAATTATTGGTCTGTGATTTGCTCCCAAATAATCTGGTGGAAAAGGGGAATGAATGGAGATGTAGATGAAACAAGACTGGACATATACTGGTAACTGAAGTAGGGAAGGAAACAGATTATTTTACTGTTGACTCTATTTTTGAATATTTGAAAACTTTCTAATAAAAAGTCTAAACACACACAATGTACTATGGGAAGATTATCATTATCCAATGGAAGCTGATGGAATCAAAATCACAAATAATATAAAGCAGTTTTCAAGAAAATGAATTTACGAAAATGAATGTAAGGAGGATACTAAGTATGGAAGGCAAATAAAACAACCTATTATAAAACCATCTGCTATCACTTATGGAAGGCCTGTATTTGCTCTATGTAATTTAAATCTACAAGCAGATAGGGCTTTCCAGAAGATGGGGGGTCTCATCCCCAGGAAGCCTCAGAATATAATGCAAGCTGTGCGGTAGGTTCTAAGCTGTGAATTCATTTAGAAGCATAATAGCATAGGTGGTCAAAATTACAAACTCAAAAGCAAAACTCTGTAGTTATTTGGAAACTTTTGGGAAAAGGCACATCTTTGGATAGACATACATAAAATATTTGGAAAGAGATTTTCCAGTGGCAGCGGCATAGAGAGATTTAAGAAGTATGGCACAATACATGAAAATATTTGGAGAAGCAGAGAAAGCAGTGCATAGAGAGATTTAAGAAGTATGGCACAATAAGGAGGTTAGATGGTAATGAGTATGATATATTCTGGAAATATGTGCAATATAATGCAAAATGTGTCTCCATGAGCAAAGACACTAATTCTGAAGATACAATTTTGATAAAATCATTTCATGAAATATAATAGTAGAAACAGTATAATAATAATCTTGCATAAATACAGAAATTCCTACTAAGGAAGGAATCTAGTAAAAACTATCAGAACTAATAAATTCAGCAAGGTTGAAGAATATAAGATCAAGATACAGAAACAAATTGTATTACTATATAGTAGCAATGAATACAGCAAAAATTCAATTTAGGAAACAACTCTACCTCTAACAGCAATAAGCATATACGCCACAAAAAATTTAACAGTATAAAATTACATAACATTATTGAAAGAAAGATCTAAGTAAATACAAAGATTTCCCCTGTTTGTGGGTCAGAAAACTTAATATTCATATTTAATTTTTTAAAAGTTCTCAGACTGAAAAATCAGTAATGTAAGGTTCATAGAAATTACAGCCAGAATAAATATGCTAAATTACATCAAAAAACTTCTAACCACATGCTTTCTACAGTAAATCTAAGTAATTCTATCACATACCTTCACATATTCTTGGGTTCCTTCTTGTTTCTGCTTCATATTGGGATTCATTATACACCTGGTGAAGAACAAAAGATTAGTAATTCAAAAACAGAATTTGTGTTTGTACCTGAAGGTAAAGTCTAGTTTTGTGGTTGTTGAAAATATCCATATAAATAAAATGAGTCATGAATTTTAAAAATAATCCTTTCTCACTATACGCAAACTCACCTGTCAATAACTAAAGTTAGTGACTCATGATTATCTCTACATAAAAAGACACAATAATTCTAAATGGCAAAGCCTTGTTACTAAATTAGGAAAATTATGTATTCTCAACAAATTACAAAACATGATGGCGTCCTGCATCAGGTAACAGTGCTTTCAGAGATCTCAGAATTGGTCACCAGAAAAAGCAAAGCCTAATTACTCCGTGTGCTCAAGTCCATCCTAAAGAACTACATCCTAACTCTGCTCTTTCAAAGGTACATTTAAAGCCAGAACAAACCTGGCTCTGGTACCAGCTTAATAGTGACTTCGCATCTGATCAAATGAGATCTTGCATTTACATTTGTAGAAATGCTTAATCACCAGGAACTGAGACAGAGGGAAGAAAGGAAAGAGATGCAGGAAGATAAAGGGGTATGTAATGTGATCAACCAGACCTCTAGGCCTGACTCACCCCAAATCCAACTCCAGAGTCAAGTCTATGTCTCCCAGAGTTCCTGATTTTGTGGTCATCTCTTTACCCAATTCAGTGCCCTTCAAACCTTGGCTAGCTCCATCTCAGGTTAATACATTTTACACTGTGCCCTAGCACACCGACAAACACTAACAAAAAAGTTTAAAAAAACAATCTAATTGTGCGAGGCACCCTATTTTTTTTTTTCCTATTTCAGTGAAACAAGACATGGTCAGGGTACTCAATGGGGCTTTGGAGATGTCTTTCAAATTGCAGGTGATCGCCTGGATTCCTGAAATCATTCTCGGAGCCATAAGCAACGTTGTCCAGAAAACTGTTAACTCAACATTGGAATGGAAGGGACTAGAAGATAGGAAAGCGCATGCCAGTGAGTAGCGAGCACTGGTTCATGGCACGTCTTTAGGGCTAGGGTTAGGGGTAGGGTCGATGGCTGTGCTCGAAGCTGTCCAAGCCTCTGCAGCACGAGTTCGATCCCCGGCCAGGGAGCTACCCACGTGGTGCAGCAGACCTCTCCTGACTCGCCTGCTGCTCCCCTCAGCAGTGTATTTCAGTGGATCCGCTTGTTCTGCTGCCCCCTCTACTCTGGTGAATCCTCTCACCCCCTGAATCTCTGGCCTGCACCCCAGTTCTTGCATGCATAAATAAATATTAAAAAAAAAAAGTTCAGTCACGGATGAACTAAAAAAAGCTAATGCTTTAGATATTTACCGCACTCTCAGCAACCTCGCACCCTTATTTTGATTCTCTACTTTTCTAAATAACCAGATTTAAAATCCCAGCAGAGGGCTGAGCCCAGAGGACCTGCCGACGACCAGGTGAGACCAAGGTCACCTGCGCAGGTGTAGTTTCTCAACGGGAGACGCAGGAGTCCGCGACCTTCTCCCGAGAGCCCAGTGTGCAGACCTGCCCGATCAAGGCCAGCCACAGGGAAAGGGGTGGGTGTCCCGCCTCATCCCGACCGCCGGGCACCCCCAGGCTGATTGCCCCTCACTCCGCCAGGCCCCGCCGGGTCGCCCCTCGGATCCCCAGACCCCGCGACCCGCGAGGGGCGGGCACTGCAGGGCGGCGCGCCCGAATTGTCCAATCGCCGCGCGCGCCTCGCGACGGCGCCCGCCGGCCAATAGGGAGCGCGGAGCGGAGAGCGCGCCAAAACCGGCCCCGCCAATGAGAGCAGCCCCTCACCTCATCGCCCTCCCCGGCCGCGCGCCCGCGACCGTTCAACAGCCCCTCACCCAGCCCCGGCCGCGGCCCGGCGGCTGTCAGCGGAGAACGCGGCTTCCGGCTGGCGGCCGCGGAAAGCCGTCACCTCCCGTCACCTCCCACTGAGGGGAAACGCTCACCCCGCGAAGAGAAGGCGGGAGCGGGTTCAGCGGTGCCTCGCACAAGCCCCGCAGCCAAAGCGCGTTCGTTCCACCGGCGGCCGGAACGATGGGCGCGCGCGGATGTAAAAGCTGCCCGACTCCGTGCGCCCGTCCCAGGCGGCCACGTGACCTCCCGGCGCAGGGTGGGGCCCAGATCCGACCAATCGCCGCTGGCCCGGCCTCCGCTTCAGCCCCGCCCTTCGTGCGCCTGCGCGGTAGGTGCAGCGTGGATTTGATCTGGGGCGGGTGGACGGGGTGGGCGGGGCGGGTGGACGGGGTGGGCGGGGCGGGTGGACGGGGTGGGCGGGGCGGGTGGGGCGGGGCGTGCGGTCATTCGCTGGGAGCGTCCCTTTAAAAATCAAACGTCAGGGCCGCCCTGGTGGCGCACGGGGTTAAGCCCCGCACTATGGGGCAATCAGCAGCCCCTGCAGCACGAGTTCGATCCCCAGCCGGCCAGGGAGCAACCCACATGGTGCAGCAGACCTCTCCTGTCTCCCCTCAGCAGTGTATTTCAGTCTGCCTGTTCTGTTCCCCACTCTGTCTCTGGTGAATACACACGCACACGCGCACACACGCACCTCTGCCTGTACCCCAGTTCTTGTATGCATAAATAAATAAATTAAAAAAAAAAAAGACTCAAACATCAGCTTGCCCTTTCTAGGCAGGAGAGAGCTGTCCCTACTAGATGGGAACACAAAATAGTGTGCATATAGTGCATGGCTTGTTAGATTTCTGTGAAGTTTTTCTTCTTCTACAGATTCCTAAGGGGTTTTATATTTCTATTTTTATATATCTGTGTTTTTGACGATGTCATGATGTCGGAGTTCCGGAAGGACTAACTCGGTGAGCAATTAATCCTACCGCTGTTGACTGAGCACCTCGCACTTACCAAGTGCAGTTCTAGAAGCCGAGACTACACCTGCTTTTGCAATTTGAAGGAGCAGGGAAACCTTAGTAATAATCAACCTCTGGCTTTTTAATATTATTGCTTTGGGAGTTTATCAAAGTACTTTTCTTGTGGACACATTGTATTTGGTTTCACCAGAGTCGTCTTAAATCTTTTGTTTATTCCTAACATAGTTTGTGTTTTTTTTAAGATTTATTTATGTATGCAAGACCTGGGGTACAGGCCAGATGTGTGGGGGGTGAGAGGGTTCACCAGAGACAGAGTGGGGAACAGAACAGGCAGACTGACTGAAATACACTGCTGAGGGGAGAAGCGGGTGAGTCAGGAGAGGTCTGCTGCGCCATGTGGGTAGCTCCCTGGCAGGCCAGGGATCGAACTTGACCTGCAGAGGCTGCAGATTGCTTCAAGGTTGCGTCTTAACCTGTTGCGCCACCAGGGAGGCCCCTAACATAGGTATTAATACGAATCTGGTTTCCCACCTTTTATGGGATTATATTGGGGAGGGGAGGAGAGAAAATGTACGCACAGTGCTGCTGTAAGAAGTGCTTTCTCAGCTGTGTACCTGCATACTCATCTGCATGTTCACCCATTTCATTTTTGGCAGCACAGAAAGTACATAGGGGTTACCATAGTTTAAAAGCTTATAACAGGGCCTCCCTGGTGGTGCAAGGGGTTAAGCACAGCACTATGAAGCTGTCCGCAGCCTCTGAAGCAAGAGTTCGATCCCCAGCCTGCCAGGGAGCAACCCAAATGGTGCAGCAGACCTCTCCCATCTTTGCCGCTGCTCCCCTCAGCAGTGTATTTCAGTCAGTCTGCCTGTTCTGCTTCCCACTGTCTCTGGTGAGTCCTCTCACCCCTGAACCTCTGGCCTGTACCCTAATTCTTTTATGCATAAATAAATAAATCTTGGTCCTCCCTGGTGGCGCAGGCAGTTGAGCACCACACTGTGAGGCTGTCCACAGCCTCTGCAGCACCGGTTCGATCCCGGTGGGCCGGAGAGGGTCCCACATGGCACGGCAGACCTCTCCTGTCTCAACTGCTACTCCCCTCAGCAGTGTATTTCGTCAGTCTGCCTGTTCTGTTCCCCCTCTGTCTCTAGTGAATCCTCTCACCCTCCCGCTCATCTGGCCTGTACCCCGGTTCTTATATAAAAATTAATAAATCTTAAAAATAAATAAATAAATAAATCTTTAAAAAATAAATAAAAGCTTATAACAGCAGGAGAATTGGTGATTTTCCAGATATAATCATGAAACTTACCCTAATGTTTTCCATAGTTGCTAATAGTATTGGTCAGTGTTAGAATGGTGTAGGAAGTGTTTTGCTTTACATTTCAGTGTTTGACTTTTAATTCAACCTACCAAATGAGATGATGCCTACTTAGGGGAAATTGTGAACCACCCCACCCCACCTCCCATTGTCTGAAATAACCATTTCACCAGCTTAGGTTAGATCCCTTCTGCTTTGCCTGCTAAAAGATCAGCTAATGGATGTGACAAATTGGCTCAGATCTATAACTGTGTTTGTCCTGCTGGGTAACCATTAGCCACATAATAGCTACTGAGCGCTTGAAATATGGTTAGTATTACTAAAATGCACCGACATGTAAAATACACACCAGATTTCAAAGATTTGGTCCGAAAAGAAATATGAAATGTTTCCCTAATTTTTTGCATTGGTTACCTGTTGAAATGATCCTTTAGCTATGTTGAGTTAAATATAGATATTGAAAATTAATATCACTTGTTTTTTGTTTTTGTTTTTGTTTTTACTTTTGGTAATATGGCTACCAGGCCAAAAATGATGATTTACAGTTGTGGCTTACATTTTTGTTTTATTACTTTTCACTGGGGCACAACTGCTATAAACTACCATAATATACATTATCTCACTGAATCCTCTCTTTTTTAAAAGATTTATTTATGTATGCTTCCAAGAATTGGGATGTAAGTCAGAGGTGTGGCGGGTGAGAGGATTCACCAGAGAGAGTGGGGAGCAGAACAGGCATATGTACTGAAATACACTGCTGAGGAGAGCAGTGGGCAACATAGGCGAGGTCTGCTGCGCCATATGTGGGCCAGCTTCCTGGCCGGCCAGGGATCAAACTCGTGCTGCAGTGATTTGGCAGCACTGTCTTTAACCCTGTGCCACCAGGGTGGCCCTGGTGTACACAGATTCCCTTAGGATGAGAAGGCCTAGGAGTATACCACAGTCCACTCTCAGCTGATGGGTTAGTAGTAACATTCTTGTATGAAAGGGAAAGGAAATGATGTCCTATGTCCTATTAATGGCAGAGAAAACAAAAATTATTAAGCTTTATGTTTAGAGAAATGGTTGCAGCTGTTTTCTCACAGCAGCCGTTGATTCCTTCTGAGAGCAGTGGGGGAAGGATGTGTTCTCCTCTACTCACCTTGGCCATCTTTTTATGTCTTTTCGCATTGTCTTCTCTGCATGTCTCTGTCTAGATTCCCTTGTTGATAAGGGCCTCTGTCGTTCTGGATTAGGGTCTTCTATAGAGCTAAGGTTTGCGTCCCTCAGAATTCACATATTGAAGCCTCCTTCCCAATGTGACAGTATTTGGAGGTGGGACTTTGGGACAGTAATTAGGTCCTGAGGGTGGAGCCCTCATAAATGTGATTGGCACCCTATGCAAGAGATACCAGAGAGCTCCCTCACCCTGTCCAACTTGTGAAGACAAAGTAAAAAGATGGCCATCTGTGAGCCAAGAAGCAGGCCCTCTCCTGACAGAATCTGCTGACACCATGAGCTCAGACTTCGCAGGCTCTGACATTTTAATAGGGCCCTCAAAAGGAGGGAAAAATACCTTTTCTTTTCAAAATCTATTTATTTTGTTCTTAGTGAAAAGAATAAGTCATAAATTTTAACACATGAGGCCCAGAATTTAAACTTTCAGTATTACATATCCCCCCTCTCAAGGTCTGTGCTCTTAGTAATACATCCACACACATACAACATGGATCATGAAATAGGAATGAAAATGAAAGTGTATGGAAGAAAAACAGAAACCCAGAGTAAAGACTTCAGTCTGGTAAAGTGGCCAGACTTGTGTTCAGGAAGGGACAGGAGACTTGGGGATATGGGTTCCCCATACAGTAAGAATAGATTTCTAGCAGACAGTAAGAGAACACTTCTATCTTTGGGCAGTTACGGGTTTCATTATAGCACCTCAAGCTGCATGCAACAGACACGAACTGGCTAACTTAAGAAAAAAGGGCAAGTGAGTGAATGGGAAGGGATTCCTCTCCACCAAGGGCGCAGCCCTGGGGACTTGAACAGCAGGAGTCCTTAGACTCCTGGGATCCCTCTGTGAAGTGCGATGAAGCCCCTAAAACTCCCATTTCAAATTCCTGGGAAGAGTATCAGCTTGGCTGA